GCTACTTCTAGGACAGCCAGGGCTGTACAAAGAACCCTGCCTGGAAAAACCAGAAATAAAGAAACAAACGCTTTGGAGTGCAGCCAGCTACACTCTCATTAGAGCGACTGCAAAGGCCTCGTTCACGTCTTTCCAGTGTTCCTTCTGTTTCTGTTTTTTCCCCTTATCTTCTTTTTTTATTTTGGAGACAGGGTCTCACTACAGTCTCAGTTTTTAATTAAGAATTCACCAGATTATGCTGGGCAGTGGTGGGCACACCTTTAATCCCAGCACTCGGGAGGCAGAAACAGGAGGATCTCCACGAGTTCGAGGCCAGCCTGATCTACAGCGTGAGTTCCAGGACAGCCTCCAAAAGCTCCAGAGAAACCCTATCTCGAAAAAACAAAACAGCAAACAAAACAAAACAAAACAAAAACTTTTAAGCTAATGGTGCTCAGTCTAGCCCTGCACGCTGTGTGGCGGGGAAGGAGGTGCCTGAACAGGCTGTCACTGGTCATTCTCAGTGACCAGAGACAGTTGTGGTCAGGGACCACAGAAGTGTGGTTGCCATTCAGCGTGTGTCCTTGTATCAAGGCTAGAGCCTGGCGCGTCCCTCTAAGCTGATGTGAGATGGGGTTGTGTCTAGCTTGTCCTTTATTGTGTTCCAGGGTTCGCCTTGTGTTGGGTGTATGGTAGCATGAGCACATGCGTGTACCAGCTTCCGTTTGTGTGGTATCTTACTATATATACTGAGTGGTTTGAAACACAGATTTCTGCTCTTCTGGCTCTGATGTTTAGAAACCTGAGCTGTGTCTCCCAGGGCTAAAGCCGGGCTGCTGGAGGCTCTGGGGCAGAATGCACTTCCTGTCCTCTTCCAGCCTTTGGAGGCCTGTGTGCTGTTTGTCACCCTCCCTTCCTGTCTTTCCAGCTCTCTGAGCCTCCGCTCCTGTTGCGGGACTCTTTGTGACCCCACGGGGCTTCTCACATCATGCTGGCTGCATGCCACCAGGCTGTGGGCACAAGGACTCTCGGCTGACGGACACACAGCACTGAACTAACTTGCACACCTGCACACAGTCCCTGTTTGTAATCCATCTTACTGTGTCCTGTGACCGCTCCCTACTCCACCTCCACCCTGCCCTTGGTGTTACTTTTCTTTCTTTCTCTCTTTCCTTTGTTTCTTTCCTCCCCCCCCCCCCCCCCCCCCGAGACGGTTTCTCTGTTTATGTAGCCCTGGCTGTCCAGAAACTCACTTTGCAGACCAGGCTGGCCTCGAACTCACAGGCCTGTCTCTGCCTCCTGAGTGCTGGGATTAAAGGTGTGCGCCATACCTGGTGGTATTTACATTTCCTTAAAACAAATGTTATGAAAAACCAAAAATCTACCATTTTTAGCCTGAGTGTACCCAAATAGGTTATTTCTTGTCCCCGTTTCATTTTGGAAGCTACCCTATGAGGCAGGGTACAGGTCCCATCATATGACCATCCCAAGGGTTCAGGGTCAGTCTTCTGTCACATGCTGGTCTTTTTTTTTTTAAATAACAGTTCCAGTTATTTCTGTGTACGTGTGTGTGCACGTGTGTTTGTGTGCATTGCACGTGTGCAGGTGCCCCTGTAGACCTGGAGGTGGTGGTTGTAAGGCACCAGGCAGTGCTGGGACCTGAACTGGGTCATCTGTAAGAACAGTGAGCACTCTTAACCACTTGGCTATCACCCGGGTTTGTTTTTGTCTGTAGTGGCAGGATCTTGAGGTTGACCAGGTAGACCCTGAAGCCTCAGTCTCCGGCTTCAGCCTCTGCATTGTGGGGATTCCAGCATGCAGCTTCACGGATACCTAGCTGGGTTGGACCTTCTACCCAGGTCATCTCTTATTTCAAATTATCAGTTTGAGTTGATAAAAGTGTCTACTACCTAGGTCCTGTCAGTCGATAAGGAAATGCACTGTTTAAGTTTTCTTCTTAGGTGTGAGTGTTTTGTTTATATGCTGTATGTGTACTGTGTGTGTGCTTGGTGCCCATGGAGTCCTGAAAAGGCTGTTGGATTTCCTGGATCTGGTGCTGGGATTCAAACCTGGGTCCTCTGTAAGCGCGGTCAGTGATTGTAACCAGTGAGCCTTGCTTGGCAAGGCAGCTGTCTTGTTCTGGAATGTGGTATGACATCTCAGTACGTGTGCAGTGCATGACTGTTAGATCAGAGTGGCCAGCACATGTCACTACAGAAATTGCTGTTTGTTTGGGTAGGAACACTCCATATCCTCTGCCTGCTGTTTTGAAATACCCCATTAATTGTTCACCCTGGCTCTCCTGCCTCATTCCAGACTATTAAGTTTCTTTTCCCCTCCTCCCTCCCAGACTCTGGTAGACACTGCTTTTCTGTCTGTTTCTTTGAGGTGAACTTTTATATATTTGTTTATTTATTTTGTTTCTGAGACAGGGTTTCTCTGTGTAGTTTTGGCTGTCCTGGAACTCTCTCTGTAGACCAGACTTCCCTTTACTCAGTGAGATCCCCGTCTCTGCCTCGTGAGTGCTGGGATTAAAGGCATATACCACCACCGCCCAGCATAATCAACTTTTAAAAATTTTTATGTGTTTATTTTGCACATTATTTTCCACATGCATTGTGTGGGGAATATGTGGATTCAGAGGATAAATTGTGGGAGTTGGTTCCTTCTCCTTGAGGATTCTGGGAGCAGAACTCAGGCTGTTGTCAGTCATGGTGGCAAGCACAGCTTGCTTCCATGTGTAAGTTACCACGTGTGAAATTTGTCCTTTGTCATCTGAGTCTCCACACTTGACACAGTGACCTCCACTTCTGTCCGTAGTGCTGCAAATGACAGTTTCATTTTTTCTATGGCTGGATAATGGTGCATGTACACTTTGTCTGTCTGTCCACAAGACCCTGGTAGGCTGCCTGATCGCCACGCACTGCCCTCAGCACCGATGCCTTGTACTTGGGAGTGGCACCGCTGAGCACTCCAGCTATGCGTGGTGACCATCTGCATTCTTCCTTGGTGCCCCCAGAACATGCAGCAGCTGCTTCTCTGCACCATCTCCAACATTCGTGGGTTTTTTCTTCTTTCTTTTCGGTAATTAGTGATTGTGACTGGGGTGAGAGGGTGTCTCATAGCAGTATTGATATGCATTTCCCATTAATGAAGAACTTTGGGTCAACATAGACTTGAGGTCCTGTGACGTTCTGGTTACTCTGAAGTGGCTTAGATCCAGGTCCTCTTTTATAGGGACTTGTGGTCTATCCTGAGGGAAGGGTGCTGTTATTGGGGCAGAGCAGACTCATCCATAAAGGTTTAGAGGAGGGGGATCCAACAACAAAGACAAGAAGGCACCTGTGGGTCAGCTCCCCTCATGGTCATGGCTGCTCATTGCTCCTGAGGTGTAAAGCTAATCCTGGGCAGGACACGGAGCTGAGGGTTCTCACTGATCTTGGGCAGTGAGCATGGGAAGTTTTTGGCCATGTGTTGTCTAAGTTGATACGTGGGTTTGGCTATGAATGGGTGTGACACTCCTTGTACTGAGTCAAACATCCTGGTATGCCAGGGCCTCTTCATAGCTGTGGGCTAGGATGTGAATGAGGAAGGGTGGCTGTGATGAGAGAAAGGACCGTCTTTCCCAGAGGGAAAAAGTGCCAAGATGGAGAGAGGGATGTCCCTACACATGAGTACCACGCTCGCTTTGCACTTTTTAAATTCAGATTGATTTGTGTGTGCGCACAGGTACCATGGTGTGCATGTGGAGGTCAGAGAACAACTCCAGAGTGGGTTCTGGGCATCAGGCCTTGAGACTTGTTCAGCAGATGCTGTGACTCCCCTCTGCATTTCTTACGGGCTTTTCCTGGCACACACTGTGTGCACCTACTCCTGCAGCAGTCTCAGGAATAGTCAGCGTTGGCTAATGGAAAAAAGGGTGGTAAAACCTGGTTTATGCCAGAGCTGACGCCTGTGCCTTTGATGTATGTGTTGGGGGAGACGAGCTCTGTCTTCACAGATGTGATGTCAGTGTCTGTGTCTCGACTTTAGTTTTTTGTGCCTGTTGCAATTGATTGTTGCTCCCCGTGCTTTATGTTCTAAGGTCACGTTGTAGACATCTATCTTAAACATCATCTTATTGGATACGAAATACCTCCCAGATACACTGATGAGTTCTTCTAGCCTGAGTAGCTTTAGGACAGAATCACAGAGTAGCAGACCTCACTATACATGGCCTCCCAGTCATCCTGTGGGGCCATTAAGGATATGTCCACGATTATAGTGCTTTCAATGTTAGGAAGCTATGGTCTCTTGCACAGGCTGCAGGTTCAGCATCTCTAGGCAAGGCTGAGTGTGGAGCAGAAGGTGCTCAGTCTTGGTTTCAGTTTCGATGAACACAGAGCTCACGAATCCTGGAGGAGCACTTAGTGCTAGAAACAATGAATTAACAAGAGATGAGGAGCCTGCTAAGAGACAAGGAAAGGGTGGAAGCTGCTCCCCTGTCCTCGAGGCTTTGTCTGAGTGGAGAGGAGTTGCCCATGCAGTTTCTCACCTGCGTCCTGCCCTGGTGCATGGCTAGTCTTCACCAGGTGCTGCTCTTTCTTCTACCCGGCTCCGAGGTCACTTTCTCTTGATGGGGTTTGCTCCCCTGATGTGGCACCTGTGGCTCAGGTGGGCTATGCATCCCTATTCATCTCATTTACTAGCCTTTCCTGTGAGCTAGAAGTCAGGAGTATTGTTTTCTGTCGTGGAGAGTTGTCCTTGACTTGGAGAGCGACCGAGTGTGTCAAGATCTATTTATAGTATGGCCATGGCAGTAGATTCCAGCTTGTCTCATCAGCAGGTCATTAATGGGGTGGGGTAGCCCAGGCTATCTGCAGAGCCAGCCACCCGGGGCGAGCATCTGTGGGTAGATGCTGAGAGTATTTTCCTTGGGACAGTCCTAGAGTGTCTTTACATCCAGAATGTCCCTGATCGCTGTAGGAGTTGCCCCTCTGAGCTGGAAGACTGGTGCTGACCCCCTCTTTTTCATTCCAAAGGCAAATCGGGAGCGGTGCCGAGAAAATTTCCTTACTAGATGACATTTCATCGCAATGTCCGATCGTTTGGGGCAAATAACCCAGGGCAAGGATGGGAAAAGCAAGTACTCGACTCTCAGCCTGTTTGACAAGTATAAAGGCAGATCAGTAGGCGCGGCCAGATCCTCAGGTAAGGAAGGCCTGGCCAGGCAACTGTCCCTGTGGGCAGTCAGCGGGGCTGCTGGGTAGAATGACAGCGGCCTTTCCCTCTTAGTTTCCTGGTTCTGATTTGTGGAACCTGGTGGAACAAGTTCATGTTGGACTTGTTGCTGCCCTCCAGGCCTTCTTGGGGGGTTCTTGGGTTGTAGCCAGGCCATCGTCTGGTGCAGGGGTGGTCACTCTGGCATGAGCTCCCCCAGCTGCCTCCTGCCACGGTAGAATGAGAGAGCCTATGCAGTTCAGTGGCTCTTTGTCTCTGTAATCTGGGGAGGAACTGGCAGGGCCCAGAGCGACTGCCAGGCACTTTGTCGGCTTTGTCTTTCTCACTTGGAGGCTGAGCAGAGGTGCAAATTGGCCTCTTTCCTCCTGTGAGGTGTGTGTTCTGTCCCGTGTACTCTTCCTTGCAGTTATTCCTAGACATGGCTTACAGAGTCTCGGGAAAGTTGCCACAGCCCGGCGTATGCCACCGCCTGCAAACCTGCCAAGCCTGAAGTCTGAAAACAAAGGAAACGACCCCAACATCGTGATAGTACCCAAGGACGGGACAGGATGGGCCAACAAGCAGGACCAGCAAGACCCAAAGAGGTGAGTAGCAGGATGATGACCAGGAGGTGCAGGGGGTGGGTATGTGTCCCATCTTATGCTCTGTAGGAAGAGGAGGAGCTGGGAGTAAGACGCACGGCCAGGCTTCCCTTTGACTATGTGCACTTTGTTCCTTGCCTTTGTTTGGCTGGGCCTTCGAGCTGATTAGTAGCATTTCTCTAGATAACCATACCCCCACAAGGGATTGTGGGCAGCGATTCCGACTGTCCCCAGAGAGCCACTAGGTTGGGGCTGGGGCCCTGTGTGCTCCATGTTGGGAGAATGTAGCTTGGCAGCTGTAGCCTTAGGAGACTCAAGTCCTGAGTCGCGTGTCTCTAGAGACAGCAAAGGCACTTGGGCGGCACGAGCCCTCAGATGATGAGCCGCCTTTGATCTTGAGCCTCTGCGTGTCTTGATCTCTTCCTCTCGTCCGGGGAGGGGCTCCAGAGGCAAAAACCTCCTGCTGAGTGTGAAAACCAAGACCCAAGACAGTCTGGCTTCCCCCACCCTGGCCCCTTGCATCTGCTGTGGTCCCTGCATGCTGACATAGGGAACCCCACAGTGAGTGAGAGTGACCAGCATGCAGTGTGCCCTCCAGTCCCCCATCTTTCAAGCTTGTGCTAGAAATAGCCCTGGAAACTCTGGGAAAGCTGTCGCTGCAGTGTGGCAAAAGGAGGTGGAGTGTGAGGGAACCACGTAGCCCCCGGACATGCTATGGAAGTGTGTGAAGTGGGTCCTGAGCTGTCTAAGTTTGCAGCCAGGGATGGTGGTGCACAGCGCTCAGGGAATAGAGACAGGCAGATCTCTGTGAGTTTGTGGCCAACCTGGTCTACATAGTGAATTCTAGGTCAGCCAGGGCTAAATGGAGAGACCCTGTTTCAAACAAAACAATATTTTGCAGACAGTTTGTGAGGTGTGCTGTTGATTGTCAGGTAGAACCCAATCTTCAGATTGGACTTTCGCGCTGTTTCTGGTCAGACCAGTTCTGATTTGTTGGGACTTGGGATTAGTTCATTTCTGAGCCCCAGGGTCCTGCCTTCAAGGGGGACTAGTCCCTAGCTCCAGGGATGGCCACCAGGGCACTGTGGCACACCCACGGGATAACAACTTGGCACAGAGGGCATGGCACATGCCAGCTGTTGTCGTCCACCAGCTCTGTGATGAAGCCGATGTGGCTCGATTCAGCGGGAGCCATGGTGCCTCTGCTTCCAAAAGCTGCAGAGAGAAGAGGCCAGAAAGTGCCGCCCCCTCCTCTGCAGTCTCAAGCAGTGACAGAGGCAGTGCCAGACACCCTGGTGAAGGCCACCTGCTGGGGAGAAGGCTACCCCATTGCCTTGGTCTGGTCTTGTCTTCTATGGGAGGACTTGGAGCCTAGATTTGGGGACACAGAGGTGCCACTACCTGGAAGCTTCTGTTTTAGGTTAGAAGGTGGTGTGAGAGGAGGACCAGTGGCCTTCATTTTGTCATTCTCGTGACTGTGGTCAGGTGAACTTGGAGCAGTGTGTCTGTGGATCCCTGGCAATCACTGCTCGTCACCAAGTGGGCAGCTACCATGCCCGAGGCTGCCACGTTCAAGGTGCTGAGGCGGAGTGGAAGGCTCCACACTGACAATTTCCTCTCAGACAGGGGGGTGCACACTGCAGCCTGCATGGAAGACACCTGGTGATAGCTTTTGACTCCGACAGCGTCATCCATATGTTGTATGACTGCTAGCAGAGAGTGCTCAAAGACCTGCATGTATAAAACGTTTGTGGCAGTGAGAATGAGGAGCAGAAACTGATTAACTTATGGCCCATACAACTGCAGTTAGTCATCATTAAAGGTAGCTTATGTGTGTAGAAAAGCTGAATCATACACAGGGCTGTCATGTGTTAAAAATTTTAACATGTATAGGAAAATCTGTGGGAATTGGAGTTTATGTCTGGAGAATGAGATGGTAGTGTCTTATTGATGTTTTTGATGTTTACAAATTTTCTTTTACTGAGAGCATGCTTTTTTTTTTTTTAATGTACTGAAGCATGTTAGAAGTCCATTGAGTCTCAAAGCAGGGCAACTTAGTCAGGAACTCAGGCCCCCCACACCGGTGACTCAGTTTCTCCATTGGTAGATCTGTTGCTTCAAGTTCATTTGACAACTGTCAGAAGCAGCAGCAGACTGCCCCGTGTCCTGGGCAGTGTCATTGTGTCAGCCCAGAACATGGAGAGTCACTGCTGTGGCAGCAGATGCCCTGTGTGGCGTCTGACCCCACCCTGCATCCTGCCCTCTTCTAGTTCCAGTGTGACAGCCTCTCAGCCGCCGGAGTCGCAGCCGCAGCCGGGTTTGCAGAAATCTGTCTCCAATTTGCAGAAACCGACACAGTCAATCAGTCAGGAGGTAAGTGCTGGGAACCCTGCCCATCGGGGCCCTGCTGAGTCCTTCTGGGTGCTGCTTGGGAAAGGACAGAGACCCAGAGCTGAGCACAGGCGTTTGCTTGCTTGGGTGCAGATTGATTTGTCATGAGCAGGTCACTTGGGCTGACTCCAGGCTGGCTCAGTGCCTCCCAATGTGCTCTGTGGACATTAGTGTTATGAGGATTCAGGAAGTGTCAGGCTGCAGAAATGCCCCGTTGTCGGGTGAGTTTGAAAATACAACCAGCTGGCCATGCTGCCCCACTTGGAGAGAAGGTCTTACTACGTAGCCCTGGCTGGCCTGGAACTGGCCATGTAGAGCAGGCTGGTCTCAGGCTCACCAGATCTGTCTGCCTCTGCCTTGCTTTTGTTAGGATGCTTTTGCCACCATGCTGTGGTGTCACCCTCACTGTGTATGGCTGTCGCCTGCTGTGACTGGAAGGGTGTGTGTCAGGGGAGCCTGTGGCTCCTCCAGGACCCCGTCCCCTCCCGCACTGTTTCCATCAGATTCCATACACACTGACTGCAATCCCTCGGGCCTGTGAAGTCACAGTGTGGAAGTTGTATTTCTTTTCTTTTCCAGATTTAAAGTCAAGTGGGATTATGACTCCTGGCGCTTCAGACTTAGCCATGTAGAGCTTGGTAAACACATTTGTGCCCTAGCCCTGCCTCTGGAGCCTGGAGAGGGTCCAGCACCTCTCTAAGAAGGGTGTGGGATCAGACAGTTTTGGCCAGTGGAGGAGGGAGCCTGTCCCACACAGGTCATTCCATCTAGCACTCAACTCTTCTTTGGTGCTCTGGGGTTCTCTCTGTAACTTAAGGGGAAGGAAGAGATACACCGTGTGACTTAGTACTTTTAAAAGGCCTTGAGAGTTACAGTCCACTGCTTTTGAAATAGAAATCATCAGCATTATTGGCATCCCTCCATTAATGTTCCTAGTAAGGACTGGAGCTATAGACATGGGGGGAGGTGTGTGGTTCCAGTTGGCACCAGCCCTGGTGTGCCCCTCTGCTTACAAGAGGCCATCCAGGCACAGCTGCATACCCTACTACCCTTTGGGTATGTCCTATGTACTCAGGAGACCTTTGCAGACTCGACACAGTACCCAGTGAAGCCCTTGTTGGTGGTGCTCGGGGCTTGCAGACATAGGCAGACATTTTCTGCATGGGAGCAGTGGGTAAGGCCCATCACTATGTCTGTGTCGCTTATTCTCGAATCCCATCTGGATTCTGACCAGACCCTTTCAGAGGCATGGTGGGATTTTACTTGATCCACCAGTTGCTAGCCTTACGAACTTTCAGCAAAGGCTGCTATACTATAGTAGGGCCAAGGCTGAGGCAGGCAAGTGTGGATGGGTAGAAGAGGGAGGACACTCAGGGAGCCAGGCCACCAGCTATCACATGGTCGGGTATGTTCCTCAGCTATCACTGGCAGATTGACATACGTGCTGAAATTGGGAATGGAGCAAGACAACTCAGCTCTGTGTGGGCACGGGACAGCCTGGCAATGTTTGCAGAGTTCGGCGTGAGGGCGGTGTGGGTTGAGTCTTCTGTGCTTGTTTATCGGCTGTGCCGCTCTGGGTCCCAAGCTCCCGGCTCTGCCTGGGACTGCTGAGAGCCCCAAGAGTAGACGTCTGTGTGAGGTCTGAGTCTAAAATGAAGCTCAGGGCCCACGAGTGCCAGGCCAGTGCTCTGCCAGCAAGCTCTGCTGCAGCTCTGAGTGCCGCATTCCGAGGCGCTCAGGTGCACAGCAGATTAGCTGAGCTGCTCTCCTTGTTTCCTTTCTCTTAGAACACAAATTCAGTGCCAGGTGGACCAAAGTCATGGGCACAGCTGAGTGGAAAGCCAGTCGGACACGAAGGTGGTAAGTGGTGTGGTGGCTCGGGTGGGCTGAGTTTAATATTGGCTGTTGGGAAATATTCCTCTTGAGCTGGGCAGAAGAACCCCAACTCTGTCCCTGATGGTCCTTCAGGCAGCTATGCCACTTGGGGTAGTTATGGCCAGTGTCACCACGTTGCCGCCCAGCTGCTTCTCCCTCCCTGACCTTGCACTGCTAGCCCCAGTGGAGAAAGCAGCTCCCTACAGATATTCATCCAGAGCCTTTGGAGGACCGGTTACTGTGAGTGTCCTGACTGGTAGTGAGATTGAAAATGTTGTCAGTCCCTGTGGAGTGTTCATGGAGACAGAGAGGAAGGGGTGATGTTCCGCAGGATAGCGTGTTCAGAGTAGTCCAGGAGCTTCCAAGGCAAGCTCTGAGTAGGTGAACTGGTTTGGGGTAGTCCTGTGTAGATGGGCATAGTCCCTGCAGCTCTGGAGGAGGTAAGCCCAGAGGCATTTTGTTTGTTTGTTTGTAAGATTTATTTTTTATGTATATGGATGTTTTGTCTGTTTATCAGAAGAGGTTATCTGATCCCATGAGACTAGTTAAAGATGGCTGTGAGCCACTATGTGGGTGCTGGGAACTGAGCTCAGGACCTCTCAAAGAGCAGCCAGTGCTCTCAACCACTGAGCCATCACTCCAGCCCCCAGCAGGTGGGTTTGAGAGCGCCGTGAATCAAGATTTTTCTCCATGAAGTCTTGTAGGTTTCCCACATCAGCTGCTGTATTTCTGACAGTACTACTGACCATCAGCGGCCCTGGCCTGTGAGGGAGAGTCAAGACAGTGCCAGGGGATAGCTCCAAGGAGCAAACTTGTCCTCTGCCCTGGGGGTACCCTCCCTCTCCTGGGTGTCCCTGTCCGCCAGTGGATGTGGATGGCAGCACAGAGGGCATGGCTCTGGCCGGAACCCACTGTGATGGAGAGGACGGCCACATAGAAGTGAATGCCCCAGGGTCTCCCAAGGACTCCACTCTGGCGGCTCAGCTGCATGCCGAGAGCCTTGCTGATGGCAGTGAAGATGAATGGTGAAAAGCAGGGAGGGTAGGCAGCTCGAGGTCTTCAGAGAGGCTCCAGGCAGAATGGCTACTGCAGCGTCAGCTGGGTCCTAGCTGTCTGCCTTCTCTGCGAAGTTAAATGTTCTGTGTGTATGCATGCTTCGTGCTCATGTGGGTGTGCGGGCATGTGGTGTGTGTGTGCATGTGTAGCAGGCTTTCTTTTGGGCTACCAGCCAGCTCCCAGATAAAGACATGGGGATTTAATATTATTTATGGACGCTTGCCTTAGCTTATGCTTGTTCCACTAGTTCTTAAAACTTTATTTAACCTGTTTCTCTTCATCTACGTGTTATCTTGGGGCTTTTTGCCTTTCGTTCTGTATGTCCTATTCCATGTCTGGGTTGGTTGGCAACTGCCTGACTGGCCCCAGGCGTCTCCTTCTTTTTCTCCTCCCATCTCTTCTGCCTTCTCTTAGTCTCACTGCCAGCCTGCCCTGCCTATTCCTCTGCTTCCTAGCTATTGGCTGTTCAGGTGCCTTAGGCAGGCAAAGTAAAACAATAACACATCTTTACATAATTGAACAAATGCAACATGAACAAATTAATACATCTTACATGATTAAAGCAATATTCCTCCACTTAAATAAATGTAACACATCCTTCCATAGTTAAATATTGCACAAAATGCATATATATGCATGTGAAGATCAGAGGATATTTTTGAGTGTAATTCCTCATGAGTAATGTACCTCATTTTTTGAGACAAGGTCTCTCTGACTTGAAGCTCACTGTTTTCAATTCCTATCTGCTGCTGTGGCAAACACCATGACCGAAGCCACTTGGAGCAGAAAGGGTTTATTTTCGTTTACAGCCCATCGTGAATGGAGAGCTCCATGGGAGCTCCTGGCAGGGATCCAGGAATCTGGAGGCCGGAACTGAAGCAGTAGTCACGGAGGAATGTTGCTCGCTGCTCCCTCAGTTTGCTTTTTTATATATGATCTGCCCAGGGAGGTACTGTTCCCCAGTCAACTGGGTTCCCTACATCAATCAGTAATCAAGAAAACGTCCCACAGACTTGCCCATTGGCCAGTCTTCCAGAGGCATTTTCCTAGTCAAGACCCCTCTGCTGGTTATAAGTGCACACCATTGTGCCTGGCTGTTGACTGTTTTAAAAATTGTGTGTGTAGGGCTGGAGAGATGGCTCAGAGGTTAAGAGCATTGCCTGCTCTTCCAAAGGTCCTGAGTTCAATTCCCAGCAACCACATGGTGGCTCACAACCATCTGTAATGGGGTCTGGTGCCCTCTTCTGGCCTGCAAACATACACACAGACAGAATATTGTATACATAACAAATAAATAAATATTTAAAAAAAAATAAAAAAAAAAATTGTGTGTGTAAGTGCGGATGCACGTGTGCCATGGTATGTACACTCACGTGGAGGTCAGAGGACAGCTTCCTGAAGTCTTTTCCACCTTTCACCTTGTTGAAGTAGGGTCCATTTCTTGCCATTGCAGTGCATACACCGAGCCTACTGGCCCAGGAGCTTCTGGACGATTCTGTCTGCTCCTAGCCAGTGCTAGAATTATAGATCCCTGCCATTGTGTCCCAGATTTCCACATAGATGCCAGGGATCTAAACAGCTCATCAGACATGCATTGCAAGTGCTAGGGCAGAGGTGGAAGATGTGTGCCCCTCCCCTTGCGTGGCCACCTTGGTCAGGAATGTAAAGAGCTGGGTCCTAGGATCCTAGTGTGCGGGTGTGAGGCTGCGAGTTAGCTACCCTGTCTCCCTTTTGATTCTTGTTGCTGTGGTAGAATAACCTCAGCAGAAGTGACGTAAGGAAGAAAGGGCCCATTTACCTTAGAATTCCAGGAAAGATGGCAGGCACTTGGAGCCGCCTGTCCTGCTGCTCCACAGTCAGGAGCAGAGGACAATGAATGAATGAATGAATGAATGATGCATGCTAGTGCTCAGTTTGCTTTTTTACTCTTTTCTTTTTTTCTTTTTGGTTTTTGAGGCAAGGTTTCTCTGCGTAGTCCAGGCTATCCACCAGGCTGGCCTCCTAAGTGCTGGCGTTAACAGTGTGCACCACCACTGCCTGGCTGGTTTTCTACTCTTTAACAATCCCACAATCCCATGCACTACCCACAGTGGGTGGGGCTTCCTGCTTGATTAACATATCAAAATTATCCCACAGACATGCCCAGAAGCCACCCTGATCTAAACAGTCCTTCCCTGAGACCCCTTTCCCAGGTTATTCCAGGCTGTGTCGGGTTGACAGTTAAGATCAACCAGCCACCTTTGTAGTTTCTGTTTGTGGAGGGTGAGTTAGCGGTGCCATCACTTGGCAGGCTGCTCTGACCCAGCCCTTTCACGGAGTGTGGTGGTGAATAGGCCTCTGTCTGACTCTGCTGCAGTGACCGCATCCAGTTCCCTGGCCGAGCCTGTTTCAGTCAGCAGGTGCCTGTGTACTTTACGGAAAACCTAGGGTATGGCTCGTCTGTACAGGGCGTAGAGTGACGACAGCCGGGCGTGGTGTGGTGTTCAGCATGGGCTGCATAGTTGATGAGGACCAGTTCCCGCCCAGGAAGTCTCAGAGTCTGTGTGTCAGGAGTGAAGTGAAGGCAGGGCTGCTCCCGAGGGTTGGTCAGGGAGTGACAGTTGAAGACAGAGATGGCCTTGGGATCACACCAGGACCACATTGCAGTGCTAGAAAGGTTGAGCAGGTGAGTCTGACACTCAGAAATCATAGACCACAGCCTTGGGGGGGCATCTGTTGGCGTGGCCTCACAAGAGGCAGTTTTCTCCAGGAACTGATTTCGCTTATGGACTGTACTTGTTCACCACCTCGTCAGACACAAGTGCCAGGTGACTTCTGTGGGGTGGAAAGGGACGTGTGCTGGAGCAGAGGCGGAGCAGAGGCTGGAGCAGAGGCGGTGTCCTGTCCGCTCATCCTGTGTGACCACCTGCCAGCCCCGGGGAACAGCTGAGGGCATCACTGTTACTGCTCACTTGCAGCCACTCCGGGCCGTGTGGAGCCAGGAAAGCTGACAGAGATTGGTTGGCTGTCTCGCTCACTCTCTCCTCTGCCTCCCTTGACAGGTTTAAGGGGCTCAAGCCGACTATTATCCTTCTCTCCCGAGGAATTTCCGACGCTGAAAGCAGCTGGAGGGCAAGACAAGGCTGGCAAAGAAAAGGGCGCCTTAGATCTGTCGTATGGGCCAGGACCAAGCCTCCGCCCTCAGAGTGAGTGAATGGCAGCTTGTCCTCAGTCCCTCACTGTGCACGGGACCCCTTTCTTTCTGTCTGTCCAGGTGGGCTCCAGCTGCTGCTCCTGGGTGCCCCTAGCTTGACAGGGGCCATGTCTGACTGCCTCTCTGACCTGCCCCTCACCTCTCTCTCCTGTCCCTTTGGCTGAACCCCGTCTTGTTACTGTCCGTTTACCATCTGTTATTACTTCCACTAAGCTGAGTTGTGCTTCATGGATACATACAGGATGCCACTAGCTTAATCAAGTTTGCTTCCATAACCTGATCCCAAGCCTTATTGAGTGCTGCTTGTCACCCCAGGAGCTATGACAGCCTGGCTTCCACCCTTCCTCAGCCACATCAGAATTGACCAGTGTATCTGCAACAGCCAGCGCCCTTGTCCCCTCTGGTGCCAGGAACTGGGGAAGACCCGTGGGTGACGCATGTTGTGCTGCGTTGCCAGCAAGCCTGTGGTGCGAGGTTCTGGGCTTAAGATCTGGGTTCTCTGTCTGGCCTGACCAAGGAAGGTCTTGAAATCCAGGGGGCTTTGTCTGCCTGCCGTCAGAGGACTGTCCCAAGTCCTCTCCAGTTGATGTACTGCTGATGGCAAGTCAGAGGCACCGTCCTCAAAGCCCAGTGACCACCCTGCCACTCTGCCGAAACATCAACTTTGCCGAGAGTCCACAGTGCTCAAAGTGGATGGTTGAGTGTTCAGACAAGTCCTGCGCTAAGATGGACTACCCCGTGGGGATAAAGTGTAGAAGTAGAAGCAGCTTCGCGATCAGTTCTTTTTGTTGAGGTGAAAGCAGAAGACTTAAGGCTTTTCAGGATGGCAGCAAAGTGGCCCGCCCCATCCTGACTGGCTTTTCTCTTGCGGGTGGCAAGTGCTGAGTCCTTTCCTGTCTCAGCTCCTAAGCAGAAGAGGACAGAGAGGAGCCTGGGATTGTTCCTATGTGGCCCCCACACTAGTGCCATTGTATGTAGTTTCTCTCTGTACATTTGTTACCTGCGGCCAGCCGCATCTACAAGCTACCGTGCACTATTGTGAAAGTGGGACACGCTCACTCTGCGAGTGTTTCTCTTCTGCAGGTGACTTATGAGTTAATCTTAAGTGTGCATAAGAACAACCAGTCAGGCAAGCTGTGGTGACGCACACCTTTAATAAGCCGAGCACTTGGGAGGGAGGCAGGTGGATGTCTGTGAGTTCGAGGAGAGCCTGGTCTACATGACAAGCTCCAAGCCATCCAAGGCAGCCAGGAATATATAGGGATTCAAAGAGGAAAAGCCAGTCTGCGTTGGGTCTGGGAGAGTCCCATCTCTGGTGAGTGGGCTCCTGTAGGGATTGTCATGTGGCTGTGAGAGAGAGCTGTCAGGTTTGGAAATTTGTTTTTTGTTTTTAAGACAGGGTTTCCCTGTAGTTTTGGAGCCTGTCCTAGAACTAGTTCTTGTAGACCAGGCTGGCCTCAAACTCACAGAGATCCACCCGCCTCTGCCTCCTGAGTGCTGGGATTAAAGGCATGCGCGCCATCACCACCGCCCAGCTAGGTTTGGAAGTTTTTAAAAATTTTATTTTGTGTGTGTCTTTGTGAGGTAGGGGAACACACATACCACAATGTACGTGTGGAGGTCACAATGACCATGGGAACTGATTCTGTCTTCCTACCACCGGGGTCCTGGGGATGGAATTCAGGTCATCCCCACTGAGATACAGTACCAGCTCCATCCTCAGGTGTTTACCTGTAAACCATGTGTGCTCTTGCTTGCTGCACATGATCACATGGTACCAACATTTCAAACTGAGACTCTGGACAGCGCTGCAGCTCAGACTGGCTGTGGTAAAAGTGAGCCTGTCAAGAGTCACGCTGGCCTGCATGGAGATCAGTGCTGGCTGAAGGAGTGAGTCAGGCTGTCCTGCCCTCTGGGTGGGGGTGGTGTCAGCCATGGGGAGCAGTGTGTTTCTCTGAAGCGGAGGTTTCTGTATTTCTCAGGCGTGTATCTATGCCCTTCAAAAAATTCTAGTTTTCTGCTCCCCACTTGCCCTGACAACACTTGGATTTTTTTTCTCTTTTCCTTGTTTTTTCTTATTTGTTTTTTAAGGTTTATGTATTATGTATACAATGTCCTACCTGCAAGCCAGAAGAGGGCACTGGATACAGATGGTTGTGAGCCACCATGTGGTTGCTGGGAACTGAACTCAGGACCTCTGGAAGAGCGGCCAGTGCTCTCAGCCTCTGAGCCAGCTCTCAGCTTGTTTTTTAAAGCAAGTGGTAGTGTTCATTGATCTCAGAGCTTTACAAGTCTCCTTCCCCTTTCTCTTCCTCTTTCCAATTTACAGATGTGACCAGCTGGAGGGAGGGTGGTGGACGAAACATCATTTCTGCCACATCTCTGAACGCCTCCCCAGCAGAGCTGGGCAGCAGGAGCTCCAGTGCGGGAGATGGAGCCCCCTCCTCGGCGTGCACCAGCGATTCTAAGGACCCCTCTCTCCGCCCGGCCCAGCCCATCCGCAAAGGGGCCTCACAGTTCATGGGACATATTTACCAGCCTCCCACTTACCACGACATGCTTCCTGCTTTTGTAAGTCTTCAGAGCATCTTGTCCCGAAGCTAAGTGTTCTTTCTGTCCACCAGGACTGGCTCACAGTTGCTCAGTTTGAGTTCTCTCTCTCAACAACAGTCAGAAACCACAGTGGCCTACAACAGAATTCAAATCTTTTGTCTTTTTCAAATCTACTGCCTCTGGCTTCTTCTGCCCCTACAGCTTGGATGGTGTTGTAGCTTTGATTCTTCAGAAAAAGGAGAGATGAATGTTCCTAGCCTTATTGACCCCAAGGCAGATAGGGCAGTGTGCTGGGATTCATGAAAAACTCTCTTCAGCCTTACTATGGGGTCCCACCCATTTTCCACTTTTCAAAGTGAAATTTTTTTTAAAGATCTTATTTATTTATTTATTATGTATTAGTGTTCTGCCTGTATACCAGAAGAGGACTCCAGATCTTATTACAGATGGTTGGGAGCCACTATGTGGTTATTGGGAATTGAACTCAGAACCTAAGGTAGAGCAGCCAGTGCTCTTAACCTCTGAGCCATCTCCAGCCCCACGAGTGAAACCTTATTTAACATGTAACTGGGGCCGTTGCTAGAAAGTCACACGCTGATGTTTATATTTCAGATGTGTTCACCACAGTCCTCAGAGAACCAGGGTACGGTGGAACGAAGCTCCTTTCCCCTCCCTCAACTCCGCCTGGAACCCCGCGTTCCTTTTAGACAGTTCCAGATGAACGACCAGGATGGGTAAGACTGCGAGGCTGTGGCCATGTGTGTTGTTGCATGACAGACAGTTCATGCATGAACGTGCTTTGTGCTCTGGAGGTAGAGACATCCAGGTGTTGGGTGGTGGCAGAGGATGGGCCTGCGAGGAGCCTGGGCCATAGGGGTAAGGTCCTCCTACCCCCTGCAAGGAGCCTGGGCCGTAGGGGTAAGCCCCCCGCCTGCAAGGAGCCTGGGCCATAGGGGTAAGCCCCTCCTCCCCACCACAGGAGTTTGACAGTGCTGTGGATGAAAGTGAACCCTATCTAGAATGTTTTTAAGTGTGCGTTGCATATTTTTTCTAAAACGAAGTAATGCAGACTCAAACACCAGACTGCAAGGTGCAGCCTGGTTTTGGAAAGTGACTGCTTGCCTCTATAAGTCATGGGAGCCCATTATTCTTTTCTGTCTTACAGGAAAGAACGGCCAGGCCTGGCACGCCCTGTGCGCCCACTGAGGCAGCTGGTGGAGCGGGCACCACGGCCCACTATCATCAACGCAGAGAACCTGAAGGGCCTGGATGATCTGGATACCGACGCAGACGACGGCTGGGCAGGTGGGTGGCACCAGCACGCACTGTATTTGTGCGGTCGGACCAGAAGCACTTCCTGGCGGGTCTGTGCTCTTAGTTGTACACCTGTGGGAGAGTGTGCTGTTGAGCTTTTAAAAGAACTTCTGGAATTAACTGGCATTTACACTGGCTAGAAATCCTCCATGCCATACTGAAGATTAAACCCACATGTGCTGTGTTCTGTGCTCACACAACTCCAAGGATCTCCTGTCCCTTTGAAAAGAGAAGGTTTCTTAAGTTACGTTTATTACTTTTCTGGGATATTTGTGTGTGCGTGTGGGTTTATATTCTTGTGTCACGGCACACATGTGGTCAGAGGATATCTTGGAAGTTGCTTTTCTTTCTGTCATTTGCATCATGGGTCATAACCTTGGGGACAGGCACTATGCTGCACCAAGCCCTGCCCTTTTTAAGGCACAGTCTTACCACACAGCCCAGACTGACCTTGAACTCTGTTTTACTTCACTAAGTGCTAGGGTCACAGGTGAGTGGTACCCACTGTCCCTATGTCTTAAGCAACCCTACGTTGCTTTAGTCCAGCTGTTTTAAACCTGTGGGTCTCAACCGTTTGGGAGTCGCAGTGTTAGGAAAGTTGAACCACTGCTTTAGTCCCTGTTTTGGTTTTAGAAACAGGATGTTATGTACGCCAGGCTGATCTCACACCAACATTGGGACCTCGTTGCCCCACCTTCTCAGTGCTAGAATGACTGGCGCTCCTCCCACTCCACTGTCTATAGAATGTTGGCCCAGTGGGGATCATACAGTTTCTAATCCTGTTTTTTTTTTTAATTTCATTAGGATTTATTTATTTTATATATTTGAGTACTCTATTGACTTTTTACAAAAAGAGGGTATTGTATCCCACTATAGGTGGTAGTGAGTCACTATGTGGTTGCTGGGAATTGAACTCAGGATCCTCTGGAAGAGTAGTCAGTGCTCTTAACCACTGAGCCATCTCTCCAGCCCCATGGTTTCTATTCTTACCTGACATTTTAATATTTTCTAGCATTTTTATATGTTTCTTTTTTGTTTGTTTGTTTGTTTTTGTTTTTAGAGGCAAGGTTACTCTGTAGCTTTGGAGCTTGTCCTGGAACTAGATCTTGTAGACCAGGTTGGCCTCGAATTCACAGAAACCTGCCTGCCTCTGCCTCCCAGGTGCTGGGATTAAAGGTGTGCGCCACCACCTGGTTTATATCAGTAGTTTCTGTTGACTTCTGTGATATGTCGGTGTACTATACTTTATCCATTTTGAAGTCTTCATTAAGAATGGTTTCTTAAGCCAGGTGTGGTGGTGCACACCTTTAATCCTGCACTTGGGAGGTAGAGGCAGGCATACCTCTTGAGTTTGAAGCTAGCCTGGTCTACAGAGTGAGTTGCGGACACACAGGGCTACACAGAGAGACACTGTCTGGAAAAAATCAGAGAGAGAGTGTGTAGTGGTAGTAGTAGTGCCTTAAGGGCTCTGGAGAGATGGCTCAGGGGTTAAGAGCTCTGGCTGCTCTTACAGGAAACCTGGATTCTTTTTCCTTCACCTACATGACAGTTCTTCCCCCCCCCTTTCTTTTCACTGAGGGATCCTTTTTTATTGAGCTCTACATTTTCCTCTGCTCCCCTCCCTGCCTCTCCCCTCCCCCCTTCAATGCTTTCCCAAGGTCCCAATGCTCCCAATTTACTCAGGAGATCTTGTCTTTTTCTACTTTCTGCTTCCCATGTAGATTAGATCCATGTAAGTCTCTCTTAGTGTCCTCATTGTTGTCAAAGTTCTCTGGGATTGTGGTTTGTAGGCTGGCTTTCTTTGCTTTATGTTTAAAAACCACCTATGTTAATTGTCTTTCTGTGTCTGGGTTACCTCACTCAACATAATGTTTTCTAGCTCCATCCATTTTCCTGCAAAATTCAAGGTGTCGTCATTTTTTTCTGCTGTGTAGTACTCCATTGTGTAAATGTACCACATTTTCTTTATCCATTCTTTGATCAAGGGGCTCTTAGGTTGTTTCCAGGTTCTGGCTATGACAAACAATGCTGCTATGAACATAGCTTAGCACATGTCCTTGTGGCACGATTGAGCATCCTTTGGATATATACCCAAAAGTGGTATTACTGGGTCTTGAGGAAGGCTGTTTCCTAATTTTCTGAGAAATCGCCACACTGACATCCAAAGGGGTCGTACCAGCTTGCATTCCCACCAGCAATGCAGAAGTGTTCCCTTTCCCCCACAACCTCTCCAGCATAAGTTGTCACCAGTGTTTTTGATCTTGCCCATTCTTACAGGTGTAAGATGGAATCTCAGAGTTGTTTTGATTTGCATTTCTCTGATGACTAAGAACATTTCCATAAGTATCTTTCAGCCATTTTAGATTCCTCTGTTGAGAGTTCTCTGTTTAGGTCTGTACTCCATTTTTTACTTTGATTATGTGATCTTTTGGTGTCCAATTTCTTGAGTTCTTTGTATATTTTGGAGATCAGACCTCTTACATGACAGTTCTTAACCATCTGTGGGATCCAACACCCTCTTCTGGTCTCCACATACAAGCAAAATACACATACATGCATGTACACACATGCACACGCGCGCGAACATGCACACACATACAAGCACACACATACAAACACACACAATTTATCCTAGTATGGCAGCACAGGCCTTTAATCCCAACACTCCAGCAGAGTGTTGGCCAGCCTGGTCTAGGAGTGAGTTTCAGGATAACCAGAGCTGCACAAAGAAACCCTGTGTCAAAGAACAAAAACAAAACAAAAAAACCAGAAACAAATTAGGGGTCAGGCATGGCTAGAGAGATAATGCAACGGTTAAAAGCACTTGCTGTTCTTGCAGAGGACCTGGGTTCAGTTCCTAGCACCCACATCAGGTGTTTCGCATACACCAGGAACTCTAGTTCCTTGGTATCGGAAGCCCACTGACCCCTTTGAGCTCCTGCATGTATATGGTACAGATAAACTCATGGAGGAACACACACATCCATAATAAATAATTAATACACTTTATTTAATAGGCTGGAGAGATGGCTCAGTAGCTAACCCTAACCCTAACCCACCTCTGACTCCAGCTCCAGGGCATCAGGTGCCCTCTTCTGGCTTACATGGGCATCTTTCTACACACATCATATTCTTTCACCAAGATACATGAGTGAAAACAAAACCTCTCTAAATCACCTTTTGCATCCAGTTTGAATATTCTTTGCCTCCCTTAAGGGTAGTGATATTCCCTGGTGTCCGACGGTCCTGTTGCCTGTGATACTGGCCCACCGTTAACACTTGCTGAGATGTTCCCATTGAATTGGTTTGATACCCATGTAAATCCCCGTCTGTTTGAATGCTGTTATTTCCTCGAACATGTTACAGTATATCTTAAACTCCGATAGCGTGAGCTTTCCACCTCATTTCTTTGCAAGTTTGATTCCTCAGATTCTTTACTGCTCTCTGCAAATTTGGACTCAACCCTGGCAGTATTTACCAAGCGCCTGCTTCTGTGTCCAGGTCAGCCACTCAACCTTGATTCTTGAGTTCCAGAGTCCCAGTGAATCTCTGCTAGGTCTCTTCTCTAGTGTTCTTCTTTCTTATTTCAGAGATTTTATTTATTAATTTATTTGTTTATTTGGTTTTTCGAGGCAGGGTTTCTCTGTAGCTTTGGAGCCTGTCCTGGAACTTGCTCTCCATGTAGATCAGGCTGGCCTCGAACTCAGAGAGATCTGCCTGTCTCTGACTCCCAAGTGCTGGGATTAAAGCATGCCAGAAGAGGGCACCAGATCTCATTATGGTTGTGAGCCATCATGTGGTTGCTGGAAATTGAACTCAGGACCTCTGGAAGAGCAACCAGGGCTCTTAACCTCTGAGACATCTCTCCAGTCCCCTGATTTATTTTATTTTTGATTATGTAACTGTGTGTGGCTATGTGCACATGAGTGCAGATACTCTATAAGGCCAGAAGAGGGTACCAGATTCTTTGGAGCTGTAGTTTATAGACAGTTACTGGTTACCAGACTTCAGTTCTCTGTAAGACTAATACATAATCCTAATTGTTGGGCTGTGTCTCAGCTCAGTAGAGAGGATCAAAATGTTTTCTGGTCATTTTATTCATGGATAGAAGGGCTGCTTAGCATGTGTTAGGCCCTGAAGTTCAACTGCTGCTTATAAGTGCTTCCCTCCCCCACCCCAAGACATACACGGGCGAGAGGTATTGGGGGAGGGAGGGAAGCACATCGGCTAGGTACACCTAGGTACCTTGTTTTGTTTGAGTGTATCTTGGCCTGGCCTGTGCTGTATTAAACTCTGCTCTGGCTGTGCATTTGCACATGCCTGTCTTTAAATCTCTTGGGCTTCTGGTGCATTTGGAAATATGTTGGCATTTAATCTCTTGGCTTTGCATGCCTTAGGATGGTTTCTGGTTGGTTCTTGCCCTGAATCTCTTTGCTTCATTAATGCTGTCATTCTTTAATTAGCTCATTTATTTGTGTGTGTATGTTGTGTGTGCTGTAGGTGTGATGTACAGTATGTGGGTTTGGGTGCGTTAGAGGCCACAGGTTGACACAGGATTTCTTCCTCTCTTTACCTCATAATTTTTTGTTATTAGATGTATGACCGCTTGGCCGGCATGCATGTATTCCATGTGTTTGTTGGACCCCCTCGAACTGGGGTTGCAGATGATTTTGAGTCACCACATATATGCTGGGAACTGAACCGTGGTCTCACAAGAGCAGCAAGGGCTCTAACCTCCCAGCATCACTTCAGTCCCCACCTTACTTTCGAAATGAGGTCTTTCACTGGACTGGATGTTCTCCATATGCCCCTGGCTGACTGGCCAGAAAGCCCCTGGGTTCTATCTGTGTCTGCCCCTGAGTGGGGAGTTACAGGCATGCACTGAGATGTCTGACTTTTCCTGTAGCTTACTTACAGCCACAACTCCCCAGTCTCCCACATTCAGGCCAAATGGCGCTCTACTGTGTGGACCTGCAGTGCGTCAGTGCAGACACCTTCCCTGCCTGTGCCAGCCAAGGTGGGATTAGGACAGCAGACCGCTCTAACCACCGTTGCGGAGGTGGAGCGCCGTTGCGATTATGCACATCTTCTTTTCCTTCTCCTTGAATTACAGTGTCAGGCTGGTTGTGTGGTGCATGCCTGCAACCCCAGCACTCTGAGGGCAGGCCAAGAGAACTGAGTTTGTGAGAGTCTGGGTTACACAGGGAGAATGTCTTTTGTCTTGATTTAAAACTTATCTGTCAGAGGGTTAGTATTGCCAGCCAGTCTCCCTTACTGGAGCCCAGGACTCTCCCTCCCTGGTACTTGCAGGACTTACGCAGGGCGGGCAGCTGGGCAGGGTGAGCAGCCTATCACCTAAGTCTGGGCACTAGAGGCTCACCTTTCAGACTGTCTTGTGGTTCCCTGGGAGACACTGTCATCCTCATGTCGTCTCGTCGTCCTGGGCCCTCTTGCTGTTGCAGGCCTCCATGAGGAAGTAGACTATTCTGAGAAACTGAAGTTCAGTGATGATGAAGATGAGGAAGAAGTTGTGAAGGATGCGAGGTCAAAGTGGTAAGTCCTCCAACCCCAGCTCCTTTCATGGTGTTTCCTGTGCTAGGAGCACTTCTTGGTTTCCATAGAAACCTGCAGTTTCAGGGATGCTGAAGACAGCATGCAGTGGTGGGTCAGGCTTTGCACCCAGGCCTGTGCCCTGGTCCTTGCACCTCTACACTTAATCTCCAGATCGTGATGGGTGGCACCCTGAAAAGCTTCTGTGAGAAGCTGCCTCAGGTTCATCTTTGTTAATCCATGAACTTTCCTGGGCTGGGCCTTCAACAGCACCCTGTGGAGGTGCAGGAGCGCGCGCAGTGTGTGTGTGTGTGTGTGTGCGCGTGTGTGCGCGTGTGTGCGCGTGTGTGCGCGCGCGCGCGCAGAGCCTGAATCCCTTCCACCTCCCCCTCCTTTCTCGGATCATCCCATTGGACGAGTTGATGTCCTTTGGAAAACACAACACTGTACTTCAGTTCCTTTAGAATTTGTTTTGTTTTGTTTTTTGAACATTTATTTTTTCTGTTTTAGAATTGTGTGTTTGTGCACACATGTATACTCACACGTACATGACTGCAGGTGCCTGCAGAGAACAGAGGCATTGGTGCCCATAGAGCCAGTGTGCAGATGACTGTGAGTTGCCCTAAGAGTGCAGCGGGTGCCTTTAACCGGTTCGCCACCTCCCCATCCCTGTTTTTGCCTTAGTGTTGGTAGTGGCTGCTGACTTGGCGTTTCTGGGGTGTCCATACACCGCAGCACACCCTGCCTCCAGGGTGGACTCGGAGCCTCTGGGTCTCAACATTTTCTGATTTGCTGCATGCATTATTGGCCCTTGGAAGCTCTTCCATTTATCTCTGGGGTTTTTGGGACCAGTATTCTTCCTTGTCTGCAGCACAGGGGACAGTCAGTGTGTCTCCTTCCTTTTGGCCTGCCTCTCATGGCACATCCTGCACATAGCCTTCCTCATGGGATCCTAGTTTGTGTCTGGTAAGCCAGGACCTTTCTCAGAGGTCCAGTCAGATGTCGCCAGCAGTTGTTTTTACTCCCTTTTTAAACTTGAGACAGGGTCTCACTGTGTAGCTAGCTCTGACTGTTCTGGCACTCACTAAGTAGACCAGGCTGGCCTCAAACTCACAGAGTTCTGTGTGACTGCCTTTTGGAATGAAAGGTGTGCCCCACTATGCCATGCTTTAGTAGCAGTTTTTTAATCTGTCTTCTGTGCCTCTCTAGCTGCCTGTCACAGGTGTGCATTCATGCATGTGTACATGTGTACACGGTAGGCATGTGGTTAGCTATGCGTGTGTGTCTGGTCTGTGTGCGTGTGGTTAACTATTACTGGCTATATTAGCCTTTAATGCTGCCAGCTTTCCTGACATCTGTGCATATATGACTGTGTTTTGACCCTGCTCTTTGTTCTGTCCAACACACCCTCTCCTTCCTACAGAGCCTACAGTGCAGCCCTGTTGGGGACTGTCTCCTCGTCTACACTGATGTGTGTACTTGCTATGTTCTTGGGGTTCACTGTGGTCGTCTGCCTCTTGATCCTTTGAGGTGCTCTGGGTAGGCAGATGCCCTGGGTAGAGCCAAGGACGGAGCTGGAGACTCTGAGGCAGAGCTCTGCCCTTCTATCTCCTGCTGTGGTAGCTCCTTTCACCTCTCCGAGGCAGGGTCCCAGCTCTTTAAGGTTTTTTATTAATTTTATTTTATGTGTGTGGTGTTTTCCCTGTATGTATTTCTATGCACCACATGCATTCAGTGTTTGTGGAGGTCAGGGAGGGCATTGGATCTCCCGAAACTGGGATTAGAGCTCTGAGCCACCATGTAGATGTTAGAAACTGAACAGAAACTTAACAGCTCTCCAGCCCCAATTGCCCGTTCTTCAGATGTGAGTCAAGGATGGGGGCTCTGAGTGATGGTGAGTTGTGAATGCTGGGTCTGAATTCTACAGTTCACACGTGAAAGATATGAGTGGGATGTTGAAGGAAATTAGTCTATAAATTGGGGTAATAGCTGACTTCAGAATTCCCAGAGGCCCCTGACCAGTGAGGTCAGACAGATCTAGCTCTGGGGGAAACTTACCAATTGCTGTTTGTCCTAGGAACAGCTGGGACCCAAGGCGGCAGCGGGAATTGTCTCTGAGTTCTGCAGACGGTGCTGAAGCCAAGCGTACTCAGGAGGAAGGGAAGGACTGGGGAGAAGCAGCGACTGTGTCCCGCGTCGTCCGAAAGGCGCCAGAGCCTCAGCCTCCATCCAGGAAGCTTCACAGCTGGGTTTCTGGCCCTGACTACCAGGTACAGTGGCCCCAGTCTGTGCCTGGCTGATGCCTGGAGCCCTGGAATGTTCACATGGGCCTAATTACATGCTCCCTCTTGCTCTAACTCTCTCTCTCTCCATCCCTCCTTCCCTTCCTCCATCCCTCCCTACACACATGCAGGAGCCAATGCCCTCAAACATTCGTTTCCAAAGGCAGTGGAGCCTCCAGCCACTGTCCCAAGTGTTTGTACTGTGTTGATGTCACTGGCTAGGTTTCCATAAAGTGCTGGGTCATGTTTGTTTTCTCTCTCTCTTTTTTACTTTTTTACTTAATTTCATTTTCAGTATGTGTGTGTATTGACATATATGTCATGGCATGCATGGGTGGTCAGAGGACAAGCAACCAGTTGTGAAACTGGTACTTTCCTTCCACCGTTATGTGGTTCCCACACTTCCAGATGCACGTTGTCAAGCTTCAAGACAAATGTTCTACCTCCCAAGCTGCGTGCCTAGCTTTATAGGAAACTTGGAATTGGATATAAAGACTGGCCGGGCATGGCAGCACATGTCCTTTAATCCCAGTGCTCAGGAGGCAGAGATGAATTCAAGACCAGCCTGGTCTGTAGTGAGTTCCAGGCAAGCCTAGGACTACATAGTGAGACACTGTCCCCAATTAAAAACAAAAACAAATACTGAGACTGTTGTGCAGGCTGACTGAAGAGTGCGCCACCTCCTGGTTATCTGCTCTCACTGCACGTCGTACTGGGATCTTCCTGCCCAGACAGTGGTGTTTTGTTAAGAACCGGAAGCAAACCAGGAAGCATGTGTTGCTACCTTGCTGTGGCGCATTTCGAGCCTGCTGAAGTCCTTTATGCATGAGCTCACCTGTTACCACTGCAGCTCACTCAACCTTTTCCAAGTTCTCATGGCCTGGGTGCTGTGGAAGAGGACATGCTCCTCAGATTGGCTCGCGCTGATCCTTGCTCCTGCCTGGTCAGTTCCAAAGCTTGTGTCCTTGGCCAGCTTCTCTGGACTGTTTTTTGTGGACCCCTCCTGGCTCTAGTGACTGGCACTTTGATCTCTTAGTTAATGCTGGCGATGTTGCCAAGGCTTACACCGAGCAGTCTTTTTCTTCTGCTGTGATTGCCGAGAATTGTGGGCAGAAACAGACTGACTAGCCTAGTAGTCATCATACTTAAAACTTGGCGTGTGTCTGTGTATGTGATATGGGAGTATGTTTGTGGAGGACAGAGGACAGAGGACATTTCGTGGAGTCAGTTCTTTATTTCCACCTTTATGCAAGTCCTGGGGATTGAACTCTGATCAGCAGGCTTGTGCAGCAAACACCTTTACCTGCTGAGCCATCTCGCTGGCCCCCAGTCATCGTACTTTGAGTTTATTCCTTCATTTCTGCGTTGGTATTCTCACATCATCTGGTGTGAGGATGACATTATCTTTGATTTCACTTCCCCGTTGTGGGTTCTTGTTTCTTATCTTACTTTGAGATTTTCCCTACTTTCTGAAGAATAACTCCTTCAAAACTTTTCTAGGTCCAGGTCCTCTGCTGTCCCAGGTCATTCTCCTAGGAACTCTTGGTTCCTTTGGGTGGTGGGAAATACTTAGACACGGTGCGAGCATACATGAGTGCGTGCGTGGGTGCATGCGTGTGTGTGCACACGTGCCTGTTCAGGAGCACAAGTTCCCACCAGATGCCTGTGGTAGTCAGGGCACCTTTGGTGTCCATCTATGCTTTCCACCCTTTTACAACAGGGTCATTGTTTTTCTGTTGAGTTTACCAGGCTTCTCCTGTTTCTGGATCCCACCTCCCTGTGGGAGCTCTGGGGTTCATACACTCATGTGACTTTTGCATGGATTCTGGAATTCAGATCTGGGTCCTCCCACTGGTCTACAGATCCCCTCAGACCTTCACTACTTATTTATTAACCCCCCCCTCCACGGAAGTCATGTCGCTGATACTGATTGGTTGGCTGCTGTGTGTAAGCACTTCCTATTGCACAGGTGGCCTCCCCAGCCCTCACAGGTGTCAGCTTCACTCTACAGCACCCCGAGTTTGCATGCCCTGTCCTATGGTTGTTCCAAACCAAGCCTCTGCTCATGTTATATGGCCTTGCATGCTGCTGGGCTCTGGCCACCCACACAGACTCCGGGACTCTCCAGCAGCTGACACACCCAGTTACCTGTGAGCAAACAAAGGCTGGGGAAGAGAAAGGCATTGTTTGGAGTTCTCTTGGGAAACATGTTTTTGGCTCCCATCCCTCGGTGAATGCAGTGGACAGGCTTTCCCTCCTGTCCTCCCTGTGTGCCTGGCACTGTGCAGGCTCCAGAGACACAAGTGAAACAGACATTGTGCCTCCCCTCCTGGCAGTACCTCCCCCTGTATTATGATTGGCTTATTCAAAAGGGCTATTAGCAGTAATTGGCTGGAGAGCGGTTGCCAGATCAGATGAGGTAAAGAGAAACTTCTGAGGGTCACTTTGCCCCTTCCCAGGGACTAAGTCAAAACATCAGTAACTGAGTCAACACCAAAGGGTTATCTTGCCCCTATTCACGAAGATGGAAAGTTCCCAACATCTCAGTACGTGCATGTTATATCCTTGGTTCCCAGGGAAGGAGGGGAAGTACTGAGAGTTGTCAGAAATGGCTTCAGAATTGTCTTAAAGTTCTACAGAACAAAGGTTAATTTCTAAGGATCAGGTGACTTATCAGGGAAGCTGTGGAATGGTCAGTAGTGGGAAGCCATTTCCAAAGCCCGGACAGATGTCTAGTCGCAGAGTGAAAGAAAAGTGAGTCCTCCGTCCCGTGAGTAGGAGGAGAGGGTGTGTCTGCGCATGCACTTACATGCATCCTCGAAACTTTGAATAGGATGAGGGGTGTATCTACGCTTCCATGTATCCTTAGTTGGTAATCAGCTCCCTTTCAGTGATTTCTGCCGCTCTGTGCATGCGGCAGCGTTGGTCACTCCCTGCCGACTAAGGGGACATCTCCAGGGCACCCTCAACATGCTGCAGGAGACCCAGGGGTGGAGAAACTATCCAAAAGAGGCGTTTGTTGTCATGACTTATCATTAATGGAGAAGCCTCGATTTGAAGTCACAGTGTTGGGGTTACATCGCCTCATGGTGGGGGCCCCCTGTGGTCCTTGCAGACCAGAGAGTCCATTTCTGTTCCCCTCGTGTCAGTCTCAGTGGGAGGGAAGCAGCCATTGTCTCAGGCTTCTGACCCTAACCTCATTCCCTCCTTTTGGCAGAAGCCCACAATGGGCAGCATGTTCCGTCAGCAGTCCGCTGAGGACAAGGAGGACAAGCCACCCCCACGGCAGAAGTTCATCCAGTCAGAGATGTCGGAAGCTGTGGAGAGGGCCCGAAAGCGTAGGGAGGAGGAAGAGCGCCGGGCCCGGGAGGAGAGGCTGGCGGCCTGTGCCGCCAAACTCAAGCAGCTGGACCAGAAGTGCAAGCAGGCCCAAAAGGCCAGCGAGGCCCCAAAGCCACTGGAGAAGGAGGTGCCCCGGTCCCCTAGCATCGAGAAGGCTTCCCCACAGGAGAACGGCCCTATTGTCCGCAAAGGTGAGAGGACGCCCTGTCCCACAGTGGTGAACCATCTACTGTCCCTATATTGTCATGTTTACCTCACTGGCGATGAAGTAGCAAAACCTGAGCAAAAAGCACATTCTACCAGGACATTTGGATACATACAGAGACTTTCAAACACTTAAGCATACTTACATGCGCGTGCACGCGTGCACACAAACACACACAGAGTCTCTTAGGTATTTATCTGGGTTTTATCTAGTCCCAACTCAGCTTTTTTTCTTTCACTCTTAATTTTTTTACTGTGTCTGTATATGTACTTGCGTGCATGTCCATGTGCATGTGTGTGAGCGCCACAAAGAATGTATGTGAAGGTCAGCGGGTGACTTTGTCCTGATTTTCTCCTTCCCATTTTACATGGGTTCAGAGAGTTGAACTCAGGTCTTCAGGCTTGCGCGCTAGGCGCGTTTACCTGCTCGCCTTCTTGTCAGTTCCGTCTCAGCTTTTTAAATTAGTTGGGTAAGTGTCTTGGCCAGGTGACTCAGCAGGTAAAGAAGACTGCTGCTGTGTCTGGCAGCGGTGGCGGAAGGGGGGGTAGAGCTGGAAGTGACGTGTGTATGTATGTGTGCATGAACACACAGGTACATACATTCAAAGTGTGGGGTCTGGAGACATGGCAGCAGAGGTTTAAGGGCACTGGCTCCTCTCAGAGGGGATGCAGGTTTAGTTCTGTTAGTTTGCCTGCCCGCCAGCATGGAGGACATACGCCAGGTGCCCTCCTTGAAACTTGTGGCGCAGAGACGCGATCTTGTCATTTCAGCTGCTCTCACGTTGTGTGCTGCGCAGCCAGACATGATTGAGAACTTGTGACAATGGAGAACATTGTTTGACAGGAAATGAGGGGGTCTTTCCAAATGTTGGAATACATTTCTCTGGCAGTAACAGTCCAGAAGAAGTGGCTGGTGTGACTGCAGTGGAGCAGCGAGCAGTCCTTGTCACGAGCAGCAGGCCTGAGATCTTCTCCAGGAAAGCTGTGTCTGCTCAGATTGACTCTTGTTAGGAGATGCCGCCTGTTGGTTTCAGCCCCTAGAAATATCTTCCATGTGTGTAGAGGTGCTCGGCAGTTGAAGCTGCCGGTGCCCTCTGGTGTCAGGGAAGTGCAGTTGTCCTGTGATGTCAGTGTTTTACCCCTCGAGTGGAGACTGTGGGTTTTGGTGCTTATGGAGGTGAGGTGGTCGTGCCGACACGGCTTTGAACATACTGTCAATCAGGCCCTGTTGGCGGAACGGTGTATGCTTGATGACACTGAATCCTCACACGAGCCCTGAGGAGAGGCCACGGCTGCTGTCAGTGCTCATAGACAGTATTGGGCAAGGCGGTTGAGGAAAGGGCTCAGGTGGCAGCCTGTGGTTGCTGTTTCATTTTGTCTCTAGGGTCCCTGAATCAAGGACCCGCTTTCTCCCTTTTTGGAGTCCTGCATCCTGCTTCACCACATTGTATACAGTTCTGAGCTGACTCAGCATCCTCACCTGGTGATTTCTGGTGGGGGTAGAACCTTCCTACTGGGCTACTGAGGGGGGAAACCCACAGTCTGGTGCCCAAGGAACACTTGATGCAAGCAGCTGGGCCTGGGTTCGTGAATGGTCTTCAGTGGAGTTTGTGGGGCAGAGACAGGAGCTCTTGCTGTTCACCACACAGTTGGCCAAGCTTCTGGGGGCTCACTGTGACGTTCCTTTGCCTGCCTGTTCCCTAGGCTCCCCAGAATTCCCTGTCCAAGAAGCGCCCACCATGTTCTTAGAAGAGACACCTGCAACACCCCCTGCAGTGGCTCGGGGCAGCAGCAGCGGCAGCAGCAGCAGTAGCGAAGAAGAAGCCAGGGAGGCTGAGTCCCCAGCACAAGAGTTCAGCAAGTATCAGAAGTCCCTTCCTCCTCGTTTCCAGCGTCAGCAACAGCAGCAGCAGCAGCAGCAGCAGCAGGTAATCCAATGGACATGACCACGGAGTGTGTGTTCTCCCCACTCACCTTCAGTTAGAGAAACAGCGGTACTCTTAGAGCCACAGTCACCATCACAGATGCTAGAATTGTACAGTCTCCCCGTTGGTAGAGGTCTGTGCATGCACTGGAATGGTGTACTCTCTGAGTTTCATTTGGTGCAGGGGGAGTCTTCACTCAGAGCACCCCTCTGACCGTGTTAGTTATACTGAGGCTTCTGAGATTTCCAGAGTCTTGGGAGTTACTGGACAGGGTCACCAGCTTTGGATTAAGGATGTCCGTCTTGTAGGGCTCCCACCCTCAGCTGACTGCCACTCGTCAGCCTGCCTCAGCAGGGTTTTGTCAATGATGCCCATGAGCAGGTCAGAAGCATTGCCCATATTGGTCTTCTGAAACCTTCAGAGTGACCTGCATTTTTCTCTGGAGACGATGTGGCCGTGGCTAAAATCACAGCAGTCCCCATATCCTGGTGGTCTCCTCTGCCAGAGTGTCCACGGCAGTTAGTTGAGTTCCTTGGAGAGTAGTAATCACTGAGTCTGGGCTGTGTCTCAGTGGTAGAACTTGCCCAGCGTGAATGAGATCTCAGGTCAATTTTCAGTACCCAGCATACAAAGGAAGATTGTCCCTTTTGATGTGTGAGCTGTGTCTCTTGGAAACTGTGATGATAGGGGTGTTAACTTGGAAGCCCACTGTTGGATGTGTAATGTTTTTATCTAAAACTGGTTTTAAATGGGCCTGCCTTGGAGAAGTAAACTTTTTTTAGGTTTTTTCAGTCCTTATGTGGATATACGTCCCTGGGTGTTGGGCGCCATATGTAGGTGGACTTTTCTGTCCCACTTGCCAGCTTCCCAATAAACACATGAAGACGTCTTACTAATTGAGAAAGCTCAGCTGATAACTTAGGCTTGTTTAGCTCTTACGGTGTTAGTTAACCCATTTCTGTTCATCTGTCTGCTGCCCCAAGACTCATTTACCTGGTCTATTTATGAACTTCCTTGTTGCCCTTTTCGGTCTGGCTCAAGACTCCTCACTCAGACTCCGCCCTTCGTCCCAGCATTGTTTCTGTCCCGAAAATCATGCCTAGCTATTGATTAGTCATTTCTTATTACCAGTGAGAGCAGCACATTTTCACGGTGTACAGAAGGATTATACCGCGGCAGAGAGCTCATGGAGATGGCAGCATGGGAGGTGTCTGGTGGGTGGCGTGAGGGTCTCATTGCTGAATAGTCCCAGATGGTTTGTGTTTATCTCTTCAGATACCTTAGATCACAGTTCTGTGCAAGCTAAGCATATACACCGCCTCTTAGGATTTAGTTAGGGAGACAGCCTCGAACCAGCCAGCTACCATGAGAGCAGCAAAAGGATCAGGAGTCGTGGGAGTGCAGGATAGGCCTGGTCAGGTCTGGCGGCTGCCTTCCAGCGGGATGTGCCTGTGCTGGAGGTTCAGAGAGGAGCGTCCTAGTCCAAGGGCCCGCGGGACTGAAGCAGAGAGTGGGGTGTGTTACCCATGTGGGGTCAGGCTGGCAGGAAGAAAGCAGGGGAGCTTGGAACCACAAATGTGTGGTGTATAGTGGTGGCTGCAGAAAGAAGAAATGGCCATGTCCCTGGTCGGGCATTGGGTCTGGTCTGGGAAATGTTCATTCAAACTATAACCCTAGTCTGGGGATGCACAAATGCATGGTCCTTAGTACTGACACCAACACCATCCAGTTCAGAGGGACCTCAGCCTGGGACAGTCTTCATTTTGACCTTCTGCCACAACAGGGTTTCTCTGAGTAACTCTGTAGACCAGGCTGCCCTCAGCTTTGAACTCAGAGATCTGAATGCTGGGACTAAGTGTGTGCCCCCTACCACCCGGCTCGTTAGGGGCCTCCCTGTGCCCCTCATGGAGAGCTGGAGGGCTGTCCCATGAGGGCGTATGTGTGCCCTACCCCTGTTCACTGTGTGTCTTCTCCCTAGGAGCAGCTATACAAGATGCAGCACTGGCAGCCGGTGTACCCCCCACCTTCCCACCCCCAGCGCACCTTCTACCCACACCACCCACAGATGCTGGGCTTCGACCCACGCTGGATGATGATGCCTTCCTACATGGATCCACGCATCACACCCACGCGGACACCTGTGGACTTCTATCCCTCAGCTCTGCATCCTTCAGGTGAGCACAGGACACAAGTGACCAGAGCGTGAGGGGAAGGCACCAGGAGAGGTAGACACACTGAATCCAGTCTGGCCTGTGTCAGGTCATTTGGTTGTTTTTGAGTTTTACAAAGTTAAAGATACAATTTTGCCCCTGTCAAAACGTTACTGGGACCTGTATGTGGATGGGGACGTGCCTATAATTTCAGCACTTGTGAGACTGAGGAGACAGGAAGGTGCCGAGGTTCAGACTAGCCTGGGCTATGTGTTGAGACTCTGTCTTCAAACAAACACAATTGTCGGCATGAGTTAGGCACTTGCACGTTGTTAGTTGCCTGAATTGCTCTCAAATCTGTGCCCAAACCCTCTTTGCATCCTTGCTTTTGTATTTTCTCTATTAACCTGATTTGGGGTTTCATCAACTCTTTGTCTTCCTGTATCATTCTTTGTAATAGTGTTAGATACCCATTTGTTCATTGTTCCTTACTTATAATAGGAACTTCATAGTGTTTCTACATTGCATGACCTTCTCAGCAGCAAGCTGTTTACCAGGTAGTACATAGTGCCGGCTGGACTGTTAAGTCGTCTCAATATCTGTCTAGTCATATTGAAGTAGTCCCTGAAATTGCACTTGGCAGTTGTCTTGTACAAATACCCATATCATTAGTGTATTAAACTCCCTTTGATTGGGTACTGATGGGTGTTAGAATTGTTTGACTCAGGGTTTGAAGTTTAACATAGTAGAGCTCATTATTTTAGTATTCAGGGGGACCTGAGTTCATTTCTAGCACCGAATGAGTGAAAGAGAGAGGGAGGGAGGGAGAGAGAGAAATCCCAGTGTGGTTGTGGCTATGTGAAGTCCTTATAAGCCACCAGTACTTGTTTGTTTTTTTGGTGTTTTTTATTTTCTCACTTTGTAGCCCTCTAGTCTTGAATGTACTCTGTAGCCCAGGCTGACCTCCAACTCACAGAGATCAACCTATCTCTGCCTCTCAGTGCTGGGATTAAAGGTGTGAGCCACCAAACTGCTATTTTGCTTGTTCTTGAGACTTAGTCTCTGACTTGTAGCTCAGGCTGGCCTTACATTCATGGAAGTCCTCTCGCTCGGGTCAGCTTCCTGTGTGCTGAAATTACCGGCTGGGGCCACCTTATCCAGCTAACCGGCAGTTTTCGCTACGTGTATCTGGCAGCACACGGAAAGGAATTATCCCCCTTTTTTCTGTCAGTGTGTAGCACCAGATACTTGGTTGTGTTTCCTGTCTTTGCTCCTTTGTCTAGAAGTAAAGCAATTATTATAGGTTTCTTCACTATTTCACACCTTTTGTTCTTGACTTTTGCTGTGACTTCTGGAAATCCTTTCCTGTGTGGCTGAGAATGCTCACTCTGATAGTCTGTAGTTTTTAATTGCTAAGGCTGGTTCTTTTAGGTTTATTGGTAAGTTGGTTGTGATGGTATACACCTTTAATCCCAGCACCTGGTGACAGGTACAGGCATGTCTCTGACTTCGAAGCCAACCTAGTCTACAGAGTGAGATCCAGGACAGACAGAACTACATGATGAGATCTCCTGTCTCAATTGCTACCCTCATTAAAAAGAAAAAAAAAGGGGGGCTGGAGAGATGGCTCAGCGGTTAAGAGCATTGCCTGCTCTTCCCAAGGTCCTGAGTTCAATTCCCAGCAACCACATGGTGGCTCACAACCATCTGTAATGAGGTCTGGTGCCCTCTTCTGGCCTGCAGGCAAACACACAGACAGAATATTGTATACATAATAAATAAATTAAAAAAAAACAGTTTAAAAAAAAGAAAAAAAATTTTGCTGTTTGTGGGCTGGAGAGATGGACCAGCAGTTAAGAGCATTTGCTGCTCTTTCAGTTCCCAACATGCACATGGCAGCTCATAACTGCCTTAACTGCAGTACCAGGCAAGCATCCATATACGTATGTTCATTCATGCATGCATGCATGCATACATACATACAAAATGCAGGCAAAATGACAATATATCTCCTCTGCTACTCTCATTTTTGTTTCTTAGGTCTTCCCCTTGTCTTTGGTCTTGTTGTATTGTTGAAGTGTTCGTTTCCCCACCCTCTATGTTGTTCCAAAACTGCTGGTTTTGTGCCATCCTCCTGTTGGGAATGCAGGTGATCCTTCCTGTATTTTACTTTTAACATTAAGGTACCAGCATTGGAGAAGGCTGGGTTTGCTCCCAGCAGGAGAGAGAAGGGAATGTGAGCATGAAAATGAACAAATAGGAAGGAGGTTGCCATCTAGGAAGCCATCTTCAGAACTGTCTGTAGCTCTTCCCCTACGTCTGATCTACCTTTTTCACTTTTAGTGACTGTGTGTGTTACAGACAGGCGTGAGCTACCATGTGGGGGCTTGGAATTGAACCAGGTACTCTGGAAGAGCAGGCAGTGCTCTTAACCACTGAGCCACCTCTCCAGCCCCAGCTGTACATACTTTGGAAACAGGATGTGCTTCCCAAATCATTGTTTTATTTTTCTTTCTTCCTCTGTTTCCTTTTTCGCATTTACTTACTTGTTTGGGGAGCACACGTGTGAAGGTCAAAAGTTCTTCTACCGTGATGCTGCGGGGATTGAGCTCAGGTTGTTGGGCTTGGCAACAAGCACCAGCTTTTATTTTAAAGATGGGGTCTCTCTATTTGGCCATGCTTGACCTGGAACTAACTATGTAGACTAGTGTAGCCTCAGACTCACAGAGATCTGCCTCTGCCTCTGAGTACTGGAGTTACATGTGTTTACCATCCTGTCCAGCAAAATTTTAATCACTTATACTTTCAGTCATTTAAATATAATTTTTTAGTGTCCTAGGTTGTTCTACAAAGTATCTAGTTAAGGTATATTACATACACATTCTGGCCATTTTAGATTTTAAGTTCAATTTCAAGACCTGGTAAGGTTTAGATTCTGGAACTTTATTGGATTCCTCTCAGAACCAGTAACAACCAGTTTTGGCTTATTTTGAGAGATCTCTGCATCATTCTGGGAGGCAGAAATTTGAATATAGCCCCCTTCAGAACCCTAATAAAGCAAGTAAGAATGCAGTTGTATTCTGAATTCCTAAGGCTGGTGTTTTTATCTTTCCCTGGACTAGACTAAGATGGACATCCGGGTGGGAATCCCCTGTGCTGTCTTCTGTGCGGTGTTTCAGAGGCAGTGGAGGTCCTGAGTGTGCCAAGGATGGGCCTGCAGAGTGGAGAGGCTGGGGAAGCGTCACTGAGCTGCTGGCATCATCGCGTTACCTGTGTCCTAGTCCATCCGGGCCACTCATCCACGTTCTCCCTCCTCAACAGCCAGAATTCGCAAATGAAAAATGTAGAGTGTCCGTGTCCATCTTCCCATAGGGGTAGGAGGACGTGAAGCCTAGTCTCTGTCTAAATCTTCTGGGAGGGTCGGAATCAACTGAGTGCTGGCTGGCCTGTCTTTGTGAGGTGTCGGGGTATGGCTCATCTCCTGTCTACACAGCTCTCCAGTGTCGTGGGTCCACTGACCAGGCCCGCCAGTATGGCATCCGACTTCCATTTGTTCATTACCTTACAAATGGATTCTTTTGGGTTTCTCTGTGTAAGAGCCCAGGCTGTGGCTGTCCTGGAACTTACTCTGTAGACCAGGCTGGCCTTGAACTCACAAAGATCCGCCTGACCCTGTTTCTCAAGTGCTGGAATTAAAGGTGTGCACCACCACCACCCTACTCAAATGGATTCTTCTTCTCGGAGCCAAAATTGGCTCCCATGGTCCATAAGCAGGTCATGTGGTGTGCCCGTGTGCCGCAGGGTCCTCTGTCAGAGAGTGAGGACTTGAATGCTGAAGGCGTAGCTGCTGTGTCCATGAGGTGCTGGGACAGCTGCCTCTGCTTTGCTTGGAGGTCGCTGCCAGACACTTTGTCAGAGGAGAGAGCTTGATCCTTTGCCTTCTTCAGGACTGATGAAGCCCATGATGCCCCAAGAGTCCCTCAGTGGGACTGGCTGTCGCTCTGAAGATCAAAACTGTGTGCCCTCACTCCAAGAAAGAAAAGTGACCACCATCGACCCAGCTCCTGTATGGAGCCCAGAGGGCTACATGGCACTGCAGAGCAAAGGCTACTCACTGGCCCACCCGAAGCCTGCCGACACTTTGGCCGTGGACATGCACGTCAGGTGAGCTGGCTCCTCCCGCTGCTCTGCGGCTGAAGGAAGATGCTGCGGTCCCCATGGAGGGCCCTAGGAAGAGGCCCTATCCCTGGAGACACTGCCCGGGGTGGGTGGAGAGGAGTACAGTGTGCTTGAATGCTTGGTGTGAGTGGCTCTTCCTGATGGCCAGGCTGATGCTCAGAACCCTGTGGTCGTCGAACCGTTGGCACGGGGTAAAGGGGCAGTAGGGTGGGCTCAGAGTGGATCTGGCCTGGCTCCTCCTGTGTGGATGCAGGAGCTAGCCCTGCCACCCCTAGGCCCAGGCTCACAGACTCCCAGGCTCCAGCTTGTTCATTGCTCCAGGGGATTGCCAGCTCCTCTGTCTCCAGGGTGGTCTACCTGAGTTGCCACTGCCATCTCCACGCTCACGGACTCCAGGGGCCACCGAGCAACGTGTCTTAAGCTAGAGCAAATGTTTGCTTGTGTTTTCCTTTCTTTTTTTTTAAAAAAAACAAACAAACATTTTTTTTCTTTAAAACAAAACAAAAGCAAAACTAAGCCCTGTTCAGCATGGAAACCAGGAACCAAGCTCCAATCACATTGACTGATTTTTCTGGTTCCTTTTCAGGAGTGAAAGGTCTTACTCTGCCTCTCCCGGAAGGGCAGGGGCCATAAGCGCCCAGCGCGGTCTCTTTGAGGAGAGAGGGGACGAGTACTTGAGTGCTTTTGACAAGAAGGCCCAAGCAGACTTTGACAGCTGTGTCTCTTCTCAAAGAATAGGCCAGGAGCTTTTATTTCCACCCCAGGAAAATGTTCAGGAGGTGGGTGCTCCAGGGGGGCGTACCCCAAACCTCAGGTGTTCCCCATTGGAGCCCGACTTTGCCCCAGCCGAGAAAAAGCCAGAGTATGGCAGTTGGGATGTTGGCCACCAGCCAAAGGCTGCAGACACAGCCAACAGTGTCGAGCTGGAGGCACCTCGGGAGGAGCCATCCTTCCGTGCTTCCTCTTGGGAGAAGGAAGGGAGCCCCAAGAAACAGCCAAACCCAGAGCCCGAGTGGACACCCGAGCCCCGGAGCCAGCACCAGGAGCAGCCGGGCAGGACCCGGAGGTCGGGACCCATCAAGAAACCTGTCCTCAAGGCCCTGAAGGTAGAAGAAAAGGAGAAGGCACTGGAGAGGCTCAGGCAGAGCCTGGGAGAGGAGAGCTCCCAGCTGGCCGTAGACCAAGAGCCTATGTGCAGGGCAGAAGAGGATGAGGATGAGGAGAACAGCCCTGCCCTGGCCAATGTCTCCTCATCTGCCCTGGAGGATAAGGCTGCTTCCCGGGCTGGGTTTGCTCATGAGGCCAGCAAGCTGGATGAAGATGCAAAGGTTGATAAGACTTGGGAAAGCAGGCCCTCGAAGGAGGCCAGCGACATTCCACCAACCAAGAGAAACAACTGGATCTTCATTGACGAGGAGCAGGCCTTTGGGGGCCGGGGCCAGACCCGCAGCCGTGGCCGTGGCTTCAGGGAGTTCACCTTCCGAGGCGGCCGGCCTGCGGGCAGCAACACAAGTGGTCTGTGTGGCACAGGGGTCCTTGGGTCTCGTAGCGTGTACAGTGGTGGCCAGCGCAGTAGCCGGGGCAGGGGCCTTCGCGACTTCCCCCTGCCAGAAGACTGCCCCAGAGCCAAACCTAGGCGCCGCATCGCCAGTGAGACCCACAGCGAGGGCTCTGAGTATGAGGAGCTACCCAAGAGGCGGCGTCAGCGGGGCTTGGAGCCTGGCCATGATGGCATGCTCCTTGAAAGGGACGAGGGTCCCCTGAAGAAGGACTCTTGGCGTTCCAACAGGACTTACACAGAGGACCAGGGTGGCCTAGACACCCGCAGCCGGGGACCCCGTACCTGTGGGAGAGCCCTCCCACCTCGCCTAAGCAACTGTAGCTATGGCCGCCGAACCTTTGTCGCCAAAGAGCCTCCCCACTGGCAGAGCAGGAGCCCAGGCAGTTCCTGGCAAGAATATGGCCCCTCTGACCCATGTGGCCCACGGCGAACCACTGACAGAGATTACATCCCAGACTCCTACAGACACTCTGACACATTTGGCAGCAGGGTCTTCGAGGACAGCCGCATGGAGGACAAGAGGTCCTTTTTCCAAGATGACCACGGGGCAGATTCTGAAAATGCGGAGAACAGGCCCTTCCGTCGCAGGCGGCCACCACGCCAAGACAAGCCCCCTCGCTTCCGGCGCCTCCGTCAAGAGCGGGAGTCCCTGGGCCTGTGGGGACCTGAGGAAGAGTCGCACCTGCTGACAAGTCAATGGTCAGGCCGATCCAAACTCTGTCCTGGGGACAAGAGTGGTCCTGGAGGTCACAGATCCCCAGAGCTTTCCTACCAGAACTCTTCTGATCACGCCAACGAAGAGTGGGAGACTGCCTCTGAGAGCAGCGACTTCAGCGAGCGCAGGGAGCGGCGAGAAGGCCTTGCAACTGAGCCTGAAGCACAAGGGGATGGTGGCCTGTCAGGGGCCAGTTTGGGTGAGAAGAAGGAGCTGGCCAAGCGGAGCTTCTCCAGCCAGAGGCCCCTGGCTGACAGACAGAGCCGCAAGCTGGAGCCGGGAGGGTTTGGGGAGAAGCCTGTTAGGCCAGGTGGGGGTGAGACTTCCCCCCGCTGCGAGAGCCAGCAGAGTGGGACGCCTCTGAAAGTTAAAAGGTAACACACCAGCACCATCGCGGGTCCTTTGTCGTTGTCCTGTTTCTGCAGCACCAAGTCCATGCATGCACGCCCTGCCAAGCCTGGCGGCCCTGGCCGCTGTGTGTGAGCGTCTCCATCATTTGCTCCTGCATTGCTTGTCCGCTTCTCCATGGTGTGTCATTGTTGATGTCGTTGTGGCTTGATCAACTAAACCCAAAGTGCCCCCATACCCTGTTCCCCACAGTCCAACCTCCGAATGTATTCTCAGCCCTGCAGCGATGACTGTTGCCTGTGTGGTGCCTGGAGAGCCCTGCCCAGTCTACCTGCTTGTTCCTGGTTGGAGCTGGCCAGGAGACATCACTCGCCTTTTGACCATGTGGAAATAGCGCTTAGCCTTAGTGGCCTGCTTCCCTATTGCTGCCTGGGAGGTCTGGAGCCCCCAGGAGTAGAGGGGAGCAGGCTGCTTGCAGCCCATGAACCTGGTTCTCCAACTGGAAGCTTTTGGGTAGAATAGTAGTCTGTTAGGTACTGGCCCATTGCCCCAGGCTTGCTGTCCAGTCAGTGCCTCAGATTGAGGTTCCAGGGAATGTGCAGAGGTTTCACCTCCTGTCCTCATAATTCAGACTTCACAGCTAGGGTGTACACACCCTGAAAAAGTTTACCCAAGAAAGCGTCTGTTCTTTCACATGACCACACTCCAGCCCCCACAAGGCATCATGAATGTGCTCAAGAGCCCTTCAGTGAAGAAAGCCTGTGCCGAAAGGCTGGCCCTGTCCTGGGCACGCTTACCCAGCCTCTTCTCCCCACTGCAGTCTCCTGAAGGCAGCATGCAGTGGAGGGGGCAGGGTTAGAAAGCTGGGAGGGGGATACTGGCAGCTGCCTTCCCCTGTTCGGGTGGAGCCCTGGCCCACAGAACTGAACCAGCACACAGCATGTACTGTCGGCAGGCCCTCTTGACCTTTAACGGCTCAGCAGAAGGAACTGGAGCTAGATAGCTGCTGTGTCTGTGTGTGGGCCTTGTGCATTGGAAGTTTTTTTCATCTCTCTTTCCTAGCCTTTGAGTGATGGTGAATTCATGAGCTGCCCTTCCTTTGCAGGTCTCCAGAAGAGGCCTTGCCTGGAGGCCTTGGTTGCAGCAATGGCAGCCACTCATCTTATGCCTTGGAGCGGACCACTCATGCCAGCTCCGATAGTCCTGAAGCCAGCAGTAAGAAAGCGGAGAAGGAGGCCGCCTTAGCTGCCCAGAGGGCTGGTGAGCAGCAGGAAGAGGCCCGGAAGCAGTTTGACCTGGGCTATGGAAGTGAGTTGGGGCTAGGCTCTGGAACTTGGAGTGAGGGAAAGTGCGGAACAGTTTGGACCCCTGTCTTATGACGCTTCTAGCCTTGCCGAACCCTTGACATCTGTGTGATTTCCCCGATTTAAAGGGGGTGCCTGAGGCTCCCGCTGTGTGGTGTGTTCAAGGCCACATGGTTGGCAAATCAACAGAACTGGGTCTATGAGTCCGAGTCTTTAAAGACCGTTTTCTCCATCGTGGTGCCTGAGCACCTCTGGGTTGTGCTTGTGATATCTCCAAGCAGTTAGGCGAGAGAAGGGTGGAGCGCCCTGTCCAGGCTTCCATAGGCACCAACTTCTGAGCCAGGCATGTGCTGGGTACCAGCTGCCTGGAGCATGACTCGCCTGTTCTTTCTTGTGACTTTTGGTTCAGATGCCATCATTGACAACTGCGGGTCCAGCCCTGGGGAGGAGAGTGAAGTGGGCTCCATGGTGGGCGAAGGCTTCATTGAAGTCCTGACTAAGAAGCAGCGCCGCCTGCTGGAAGAGGAGAGAAGAAAGAAGGAACAGGCTGCTCAGGTGAGAGCCAAGGGCCAGAGGACAGCCTGGGTGGAAGAGGAAGGGAGAGAGTCAGGCACGCATTGTCTCCCACCCTGCCACCACTGTCCTCAGACAGCAGCAGGAGATGGAGCCACAAAGAGCTGACCTGTCGGGGTCCGCGGGTCTCAGCACACCTTTTCTTCAATGCCCCTTCTAGCTTGCTGACTCCTGGGCCTGTTTGAGGTTTTGAAGACAAGCGTCAGGCATCTCAAGCTAGTTCAAGTGGTACTGTGAGCCAAGACGCTTTTCCCAGGAGAATTAGTCATCTCTCATGTCTTAGGCTAGACTGCATTAGCCTCTTTTTTCCTAGGTCCCTGTCAAAGGTCGAGGCCTTTCATCACGTATTCCTCCTCGGTTTGCCAAAAAGCAGAACAGCCTGTGTCTGGAGCAAGGCGATGTGGCCGTGCCTGGCAGCAGCCTGGGCACCGAGATATGGGAGAGCGGCAGCCAAGGTGAGGTGGGTGCCCGGCTCAGAAAAGGCAGGGCTTGTTTCCGAGAGTCACGCCTTTGAGCCTGGAGCGTGCGTGCGTGGCCCCAGCAGAGCTGGGATTGATGTTGAGCGTCACCTGGATTGAGTCGCTGAGGCAGCTGCTACAGAAGTCACGGGCAGGTGTCATCCCTGGCTCCAGTACAGTAGACTCGGAGAGCCAGTAGCAAGCCTTAACTAGAGGAAAGATGGCAGATGGCAAGGAGGGGGCCAGGGAATGCCTTTCTCCAACAGGAGGAAAAGAGCAAAGTTCAGACTAAAGTATGTGTGCTTTCCTTAAAGCAGTTTTGTTTGTTTATTATGTCCCACTCAAAGCTGAGCTTCTGAACTTTCCGTTTAAAATGCAAAACCATTTCAGATGATCAAGTTGTTCTTGAAATCCTCCTTTGAGTGGGGCCTGCTGTGAACTGGAAGATTGTAGTTGACTGGAAGGTTTTCTGTGGCTTGCAGAGGAGCTAGGAGAGCCCACTCTACAGAACAATAGCTGACTCTGGGCTGGACAAATACCGCAGTGGCTGGCTTAAGTTCCTGCAGGTCACTCATCCTCATATTCCTGGTGAAAACTTTGTTTATAGTATTTAGCAAAGCAATGCCACATGGTGTTCTACCCGGTCAAAGACAGAACAGTGGGTAGAGGTGTGACTCAGTGACAGGGTCCTTGCTTAGCATGGCACCAGTGGCTCGCCAGTGTGCATATGCACTAAGTTCCTAAAACCACCAGCAGCCAGATTGGCATGGCAGCATACAGCGGACTGAAGAGCAGTCGTCTTCTGAGAGGTCAAGGGCTCTGCAGTGCTGTTGTCTAGACCAGGCCCCTGTGTGTGTGGCTTCGGGGGGAATAGACATTTTCTGGGCTCCGGCTCTGGCTTTGGTTGGATTCTGGAAAAGGTCTGGGCTGACTGAATTGAGCTGTGTCTGCTTGGACCTTTCAGAGACTTAGAGAAGCTGCTAACTCGCAGCTTTGCTGCAGTGTGATGTCTGCATAGGGCCAATGGAGAGGTGAAGGGAGGAAGGTGAAGAGCGTGGGGCGCACACCTTTAGTCTCAGCACTCAGGAGGCAGAGACAGGCAGGTCTGCAAGTTCCAGACCTATAGAAGACCCTGTCTAAAAAAAACGACTTTCCTTCTCCGTGGAGCCCCCTACACTCCCTGCAAAACAAAACAAAACAAAACAAAAACAGTATAAAATGGATTAGATTTTGAGCAGGTTTGGGTTTTTCACTTCTGTGTTTCCATGTGAAGGTTGTTGAGGGAAACTCTCGGCAGGGCCTGGATCAGGTCCAGTCACAAAGGGCGTGCAGAGCACCTGGGCAGTGGGTGGGTCCGTAGCTTGTTGTTTCAGTGGGTGTCCACACCAGTGGAAGGGAACTCATAAGCCTGTGTCTTCCAGATTGCCTGTCTCTCTGGTGTCCTGACTCTGTCTCCTCTCCTTGGCAGCCCTCCCTGTGCAGGGTGCAGCCAGCGACTCGTGGAGGAAAGCTGTTACTGCCTTCAGCAGCACTGAGCCTGGCACCTCAGAGGTGAGTGCCACCATCACCCACGTGCCGCTGCTGCTACAGGTACCCTGCTGTGGTCCCTAGCTTGTCATCCTCGTTAGCCTTGGTCTCTGGTTTCTGTGTGGTGCCTGGCTGAGCAGAGAGACAAGGAAGAGACATTTTGGATTGAACGCCACCTTTGAGCTGGCACCTGTATGCTTTGAGTGAAATCCGTTTGGGAGCCTTGTCTCAGCCGCGCAGTGTCTCGTGGTCATGAGCTTGAGTAGCGTTGGTGCTTTCATTAAGCTGGGCATGCGCCATGGGCCAGCCACCGTCACCAGGTCGGGACTGGAGTTGGTGGGTGTTGGTGGTGGTGGGGGGTGCCAGTGCTGCACGCACACAGGCTTGCCTCCTGGATGCTTGCGCTTTGCAGTTTGGGGACAGGGCTCTAACCCATTTTGTGCTCTGCACAGCAGGCTTTTAAGAGCAGCCAGGGAGATAGTGGCGTTGACTTGAGTGCTGAGTCTCGGGAATCCTCCGCGACCTCCTCACAGCGCAGTTCCCCGTATGGTACACTCAAGCCAGAGGAGATGAGCGGGCCTGGCCTGACAGAATCCAAGGCCGACAGCCACAAGGACCAAGCTCAGAAGCAGTCTGAGCACAAGGTAACCTGAAAGTCCCCTACATGGGGCCAGGGCCTGGGCAGAAGGGGCCTCTCGTTGTCTTGGCTTCCTTGATGCCAAGGGCACCTGGAAGCCTGTGTGTCTCAGCCTCTCTGCTTTCTCACCCAGGACTCAGAGCAGGGGTCTGGACAGAGCAAGGAGCACAGACCAGGACCCATCGGCAATGAGCGCTCCCTGAAAAACAGAAAGGGCTCGGAGGGGGCCGAGCGGCTGCAAGGGGCCGTCGTCCCGCCTGTTAACGGGGTGGAGGTTCATGTGGACTCCGTGCTGCCCGTACCACCCATTGAGTTTGGAGTCAACCCGAAAGTGAGCTTCACTTTCACTCTTTCCTTTGTTTTTGTGCTTAGGTGGACAAATAGGATTGCCTCCTAGAGGAAAAAAAAGATAGCTGAGCATTGTTTTGGGAAGAGTGTTGGTCCAGAGTCAGGGATAGGCAGGTTGTTACAAAGCTTTATAGATGACCTTTCTGGCACCAGCTGGACTCGGGCCAGCCAGGGTAGGCAGAGACAACTCAGGTGACTTCCTTTCTTGTGTGTTGTCACCCCTCTTGTAGCTCTGGTGAGTGTTACATAGTGAACAGCCTCATGGTGTGGGCCCAGTGAAAGGTGAGCTGGGCGGGGCTTAGACACTGCACTCTTCTCTTCCAGGACTCTGATTTCAGCCTGCCACCCGGTTCTGCTTCTGGTCCTGTAGGGAATCCAGTTGCCAAGCTTCAGGATGTCTTGGCTAGTAATGTAAGTCAGCACATCCTCCTCCAGCTCTGCCTGCACCCATGCTGGCCGCTCCGTGGTGGGACTGTTGCTAGGCTTGGGGACCTTTGACTGGACCTGGTATCAGTCCTCTTAGGGTCTGGGTTATTTGGCTTCCTTAGCTCCAGTCTCCATGTTGGGCCAGCTGTGGTGCAGACTGCTCTCCATAGGGAGAAAGCCCAGGCCAGCGCTCTAACACTGAGCCACACACACCCATCCTCAGACTGTCCTTTCATGGCCAGTGGGTAACAGTGGTTAAGCAAGGCGCTTAACCACCCAGTTCAGGTGTTCAGGAGAGGGAGCTTCAACCTTGTGAGCTGCTTGGAGAAATGGTCAACTTCTGCATTCGTTGATCTGTCCTCTGTAGATCCGCTGGATGAGGGAGGACATCCGGGCAGCATTCCCAAGAGGGTTGGAGAACATTGCCAGGCATTGAATGAAAACAGTTGAGGTTCAATGTGTTTGAAAGGCTGTGTTAGCCAGGTCTTCTGACTTTGGGAATCCTGAGTAAATTGTTACAGTTGGCTAATAAGCCCAGCACTCTACGGTTGGTCCAGTGACTGCATTTCCAACCTGTGTTAGGAGCGCCCAGAGAGCTGAGTGACAGTCACCACTTTTGCTCTCTGGACCTGGCCATCTCCCAAGCCAGGCATTAGGTTTCTGCCAAACCAGGTACTTGGCAGCGAGTGTGTGTGTGTGTGTGTGTGTGTGTGTGTGTGTGTGTGTGTGTGTGTTGGGACATGACTGTTGAGGACTAGTGGAGTGTGGGTGTGGAGGTGACACTGAACTGTGCAGTCTGCCCTAGGTAGTCTGGTCATGGCAGTGTGTTCAGATGAGCAGCTACCCCGTGTCCCTGAGCCCTGCCTAAGCCTGTGACTTCCTTGCTCTCCTCTCCAGGCAGGACTGACGCAGAGTATCCCCATCCTTCGACGGGATCACCACATCCAGAGAGCCATCGGCCTGTCCCCCATGTCTTTCCCCACAGCAGACCTCACATTGAAGGTAAAGTCAGGCCTGAACTGGTCCAGGGTCCTCACCAGTGCCTCAGCTTGTGATGAGGTAGAGGGAACCCTTCTGCGCCCCTGGCTTAGATTGCTACTGTCCCCTTTGTCCCCAGTAGTAATTTGCATCCCTCCCCTCCTCTTGCTTCCAAAGATGGAGTCTGCACGCAAGGCTTGGGAAAACTCCCCCAGTTTGCCGGAGCAGAGCTCTCCAGGAGGTGCAGGCTCGGGCATCCAGCCTCCTTCCTCTGTGGGCGCCGCCAACGGAGTCAGCTACAGCTCCTTTGGTGGAGTGTCCATGCCACCCATGCCTGTGGCTTCTGTAGCGCCTTCTGCTTCGATGCCAGGTATCACATCCCCTGAGCCAGGCTCAGGAGCCTTCTCCATTCGCTATGGAGAGAAGCTGAATTATCAGCTCTGCTCTCACAGAGTGATGTTTGATTGTAGTCAAGGTTACAGCTTCCCACGTGCTCTATTGTGGGAGGAAGGATTGCTGTGTCATAGGGAGGGAGTGGCCAGAGGAGTGAGCAAAGATGCGGCATTGAGTCAGACTCTGGTTAATGTCACCTTCCTGGTGAGCCACTCACCTCTCCTATAAAGCAGGCCGATGGCCCTGTGCCACGGGGTGACTGCACCCATGACTCAAGGGCTCAAACTCAGGTCCTCCGTTGCTGGTAGCTGTTCTGCTTCTTTGACTGTCATTACGCTTGTTACTGGGGATTTTGAGGGCCCAGCTGCCAAGGTCTCAGTGATGCAGTTCCAATAGATCCTTCTGACCCTCCACTGTGGACTCAAAGCAGGGAGATGAAGAGGACAGAGACTGAGAGACCCGAGCAGCTCTCTTCCATAGTAATAGCCCTCCCAAAGGCCCGGCCCCGCTGGTGAGTGGCTAAGTGGTTAGGTGCCCTGCTCCTGCACTGCCTGTGTTGCCTGAGGTGTGTTGCAGCAGAGAATCACACAGCCTCTGCTCGCACATGTCCTCAGCTCCACTGAGTCTCCTGGGGAGTGTGGCCGTGTGCAATGGGGAGACTTGATCCTTTTCTTCCTTGTCTGCATTCTGTTTCCTCCAGGCAACCATCTCCCACCTCTGTACCTGGACGGCCATGTATTTGCAAGTCAGCCCCGACTGGTTCCTCAAACGATACCTCAGCAGCAGAGTTACCAGCAGGTGAGGGTAGGAAGCCAAGTGGCCAGAGGTCAGAGTCAGTGTGGCTTTGGTCAGTCTGCATTTCTTTGCTGGTGATATTGCCCCCTGCCCGCTGTGATCCCCAGCACTGGCAGACCATAGCACCTAGAAAGTGTTTGTAGAAAGAATCTCTGCGAGAGAAAGAGGCATGGTACCACCCCAGATGCTGTTACTTGCTTCTCCGAGTCCTTGCTTCTCTTTGCAGTGGGGACACATCGGCTCTAGGGGTCCTGAAAAGTCTGGGTCTCTGGCACAGATGCGTTAGAAAGAGAGAGTTTTAGGAAACAGGCAGGGTGTTGACTTTGCACAAGATTGATATTTTGTTTGTGCTGAAGGCCAGTCTGTTTTGGAAAGCCTGATACTGGCCTCCTACACACCACGGCAGTATTCCTTCCTACTGCGAGTCTTGGTCCAGAGGATGGGGCTGTCCACAGCTCTCAAGCCATGTTGTGCTTAGTTTTCCAAGATTTTGATCCAACTAAATTCATCCTAGTGCTCCCTTTTATTCTTTAAAGGTTTGTTTTTAGTTTTATGATAGGGGTATTTTGCTTGCACGTTTGTCTATGCCCTATGTGCGTATACTGCCAACAGAGGCCAGAAGGCGGCGTCAGATCCTTCAACCTGGATTTACAGAAAGTTGTTAGCAGTCATGTGGCTGCTGAAAACTGAACCCAGATCCTCAGCAAGAACAAGTGCTTTTAACCACTGAGCCATCTTTCTAGCCCCTATGATTTTTTGAGTTGTACTCTCTAGTCCAGGCTGACCTAGAACTCATTATTTAGCCCTGGTTGACCTGGGGCTTAGAGAGGTCTTCTAGCCTCAGACACCCACGGACTGTTGTAACAAGTGTGAGACACCACACTCACCTTGCACGTATCCTCCCAATTGATATGTTTGCCTGGCTGGATTTATTTCTACCGTGTGCTGTCCCAGTGTTAGGGCTCCACCATGCCTTGTCTTGCTGCTGATCTTTGGCTGTGGGAAGCCAGATCAGATGTGTTGGGTCGCACCCTTGCTGACAGGCCAGGAGCAGGTGGAGGTGGGGAGACGTGTTGGGCTCAGTGCAGTCATCACCTGGTTCCCCTTTGCAGGCTGCCACTGCCCAGCAGATCCCGCTCTCCCTCCACACATCTCTGCAGGCCCAGGCGCAGCTTGGGCTGAGGGGTGGGCTCCCTGTCTCCCAGTCCCAGGAGATCTTCAGTTCTCTGCAGCCTTTCAGGTGAGAGAGACTCCATGCTCCTCTGCTGTGCTTGCCTGTGCTCATCTGCCAGGTAATGTTGTTCCCGTGCCCATCCCTCCTACCCCCATCCCCCACTCCCACTCAGTATGCATGATGGCCTCAACTTTGGGCATCATTGATTCTTACTGGGCCTGCCACAGCTTGGGTGTATTCATGGTCCCCAGGTCAGCAGTGTCGGGCTCATTCTCTGTGCTCACCAGCTGGCCTCCATCTGGCTTTTGCAGGTCTCAGGTGTACATGCATCCCAGCCTGTCACCTCCCAGCACTATGATCCTCTCTGGGGGCACGGCCTTGAAACCCCCCTACTCTGCGTTTCCTGGCATACAGCCCTTGGAGATGGTGAAGCCACAGTCCGGCTCACCCTACCAGGTCTACGAGGGCCAGCTCGGACAGGCTACCGGCTTGGGTACCTCCCAGATGTTGGATTCCCAGCTTCCACAGGTCAGTTTGGTTTCTCTCAAGCCTCTGCCTTCCTCGACTCTCTCAGCTGCCTCCTGTGATGTCATGTGTATCTCTCTGCTGCAGAGGCTCTTCTCGTTGTCCCCACACCACTGTGTTCTACTGACTTAAATTTCCTCAGCTCTGTTGGAGAGACACTGGCAGCCTCCATATGGAGGCTGTGAGAATGGAAGTGGGGCAGGTGGCTTTGTTCTTCCCTTCCAGTGTCTGCCTGAGCCTGAGCCAGGCTGCAGACCTGCCCTCTCCACATGTTAGAGCTTCCTACTGGCCAGTCTGCCATTGGGCCCTTCCTTCTTTTGGGCTCCTGATTGACTCTCTTAACTCCATTTCAATGCCCTTGACCATGCCCACAGTGTTGGTCATACATAGTCAATAGCTCTACCTTTCTGACTAATAGTTCCCAACGGTCCAACTCCAAGTACTTTAACCCCACACTACTGGAACAAGCTCTCTTCTCAACCCTGTGACATGGCTTGTTTTCTTCCTAGGGTGTAGACCCTCAGAGCCATGCGCTCCCTCTGTCTGCCATCAACCCTACATTCGAACAGCCACTTACTTCTTGCTGCTTCTCCCATGCTGCCTCCCCCCACATTGCCTTGCCTCCCATCACCAGAGAAACAGGCAGTGAGGTCCATAGAGGCCCGTGGTCACACCTCTGTGCCTGTATACTTCTGGACCCCAGCAGCATCCTGTTCATCCTGCAGGCCACCCTGGCTAGTACCCTTCTCTTTCCTATCAGTGTAGAGGTAGACTCAGTGCTGCACCCCACTCTTTGAGGGTCCTCTTTGGACTGCACCCCAGCCACCCATTACTCTTCAAGTCATCTTCACACTATTACCCCTAGCTCACCTTTCTCCTCACACCCTCTTTTCTCCTTCACCTGCCCCTGCTGCTGTCCGATTCTGGGTGTCCCCTTCATTCCTGTCTTTGCTCTCCTTTCTGGCCATCATCCAAGCACCACCCACTCCCAGATTAATTTCTACAACCCTGTGTCTTCTACTGGCTGCCCAGCACTGCCACCTGCCTTGTCTCCCATGGCAGCTCCAGCATGCGAGGTCCCTCTCATTCTGCTCATCAGTCTCCACTATCCCCCATCCTGCTCCTGTCCTTCCCTCAGCCGGGCCCTCAGGTGCTCCTGCTACCTCTGCCTGTAGGAAAGACTCGGTGTTTGTGTCACTACCCGTGCCGTGCTGGCTCTACAGTGACTTGCTCTTTGCCCCTTTTGCCCGGGGTCCCCAATAGACTGCAGTGAATATAGCAGTCTAGGCATCTCTCTTGCTTGACTTCATCTGTCCCTGCTGGGCTCCGCTCTGAGGTCCTGGTGCCACCACAAGTCTCGGTGATGCAGTTCCAATAGATCCTTCTGACCCTCCACTGTGGACTCAAAGCAGGGAGATGAAGAGGATAGAGACTGAGAGATCCAAGTGGCCCAGCCCTGCCCTAGTGCTTAACCCCCCCCCCCCATCTTTTTCATGATCGCTTGGGCCCTGTGGGAGCTGCTGTTCTGCTGTCTGGTATGCTCCAGAAGGGTCTCTGGGTGCTTCAGTTTGGTCTTGTTTTTGCCACTATTGGTACAAAAGAGTGAGCCTCACATCTTTGGGCCACACAAAGGGACATAAGGAGAGACTTCCTGAGCAGCTTCCCCTGGGGGAGCTCTCTGCTTTCTCTGCTGTCTTTGCCTGCAAGCCTGCACTCTGAGTGCCACCTGACCATGTGCAGCATGTCACAGGCAGTGTTCTGTCGTGGTCGCTGCTCAAGTCTGCAGGTAACCCTGTGGCTGTTTGGTGAAAGCTCCAAGACCTAAAGACACACAGCCACCTACCGGTTCCCTGAACACCCGGGAGTGCTGTGCACACTCCCCGCTGCTGTGCACACCACCCCCACCCCGCGTGCTTTAGCTTTCTCCCCAGGTTCATTCTGCCCCTTGACTGTCCTGTGACCCAACAGCTCACTATGTCCCTGCCTCGGTATGGCTCTGGGCAGCAGCCGCTGATCCTGCCACAGTCCCTTCAGCTGCCTCCAGGACAAAGTCTCTCTGTTGGGGCCCCCCGAAGGATTCCTCCGCCTGGCTCCCAACCACCGGTCCTGAACACCAGCAGAGAGGTAAAGGTGGTTCCAGAATGGGGGCTTTGTTCAAATGAGACTTGTAGAGCAGAGCTGATTACAGAGAGTGCAGGTTCCCAACCTCATGTGGCCTCACTCTGCAAGGTCTGCAGAGTCCCAGATGCCGGAGGCTCCTTACTTGTGTGTAAACTAGTCAGGAAGACAGGTTCTGGCATGTGGACAGTGTGTAGCCAATGCCTTAGCCAGTGGGGAGGAGCCATTTGGAGCCACCACCGATGCAGGACACAGGAGTCTGCACTTCTTATCTGGTCGCTGGAGCTCTGCTGTGGCTGGTATCTAGGTGATGGTCCACAGAGAAAAAAGCAATAAGCACTAGGAGACAGCCGTCCCTTGAGCCTGGTTGGGGTTGGGACCACTGTGGGTTAGTCTGTCTCTGGCCTGCTGAGTGACCGTGTTGCTTCTCGACTACTCTAGTCCGCTCAGATGGAGCTGAAAGGCTTCCACTTTGCCGACAGTAAACAGAATGTTCCTTCCGGAGGCTCCGCACCATCCCCGCAAGCCTACAGGTAAAGATGAACCCTGGGGGTGGGGCCCACTGCTAGGTCTTCGATAAGTCGCTCCCAAGAGCCCTTGTGTTCCGGGAGAATGGCGGCAGCACTGCAGCATGGCCCCTTCGCATACCCTGGCATCACTGCGGCATGTGGCGTGCTGTGCATTAGTTAACTGTGGCAGAGAGAGTCCTAGGGAAGCCGGATTTGATCTGCAGAGTAAGATGCTCAGAGGAGTGAGAGAGCTTTCTGGGGTGTCAGCCTCAGCCCCAAGGTCTCGTATTCAAGCTTACCCTCTGACCCCTCTCAGAGAACTTTTTAATGCTGGGTGTGGGTGACCTTTCTTCCCATGCCACAGACTGGTGCCCACTGTTTTCCTTAGTAACCACCCATGTTCTCCTTGGCCTGATTCAGAGGTTTCTGGGTTGTGCAGGAGCTCCTGGTTCCCATGCTGGGTTAGGGACATAGCTCTAGCCCTGGGCCTGATGATGTGTGCAGCCTGCTGCCTTGTGTTTACACACGGAATGGGACAGATACCCCTGCAGTTCAACACAGTCTGCAGGCTGAGTCCTGCCTCCACTGTGACCGTTTGACCTGACACTTGCTGTGTTGAACTGGAACTTCCTTCCATTGTCACCTCCACAAAAGGGGGGTTGATGGACACCCCCCAGTTCCTCTTATTCTATGTTCTGCTGTTGTGGCTTCTTTTTGTTTGTGCACGAGTGCATTTTGTTTTGCTGCCATTACCTGGCAGCAGGCCCAGTTAGCAGAGCTGTGTAGAGGACAGCCCAGCACAGTGTGCATGTGGAGGGAGGGGGAAGGAAGCTTCAGAAAGGAGCCCACACCATAGTTCTACTTGCCCAGTGTGATTGCAGTGTCCTGGGTATAGTAGGGAAGCAGCTTTGTCCTCGGAAGAAACTGTTGGCTCTCTATCTGCAGATTGGAAATATTTGGGAGGGGAAGGGACCTGTTTCTTGTCCTCATTGCTAAGCAATATGGTATACGAACTATCTACATAGTGTTAGTATGCAGTCTAGCGAGGATTTTTCAAGTATCTAGGAGGAGCTGCGTATTGTGGGTCAGTGTAGAGCATATGCTTACTCAAACTCATGAGGCCCATTACCAAAAGAGAGCATACTGGAGAACATGGCTAGGTCACATGTAAATACCATGTTAACTGTCTGAGGAATTTGAATCTTCATAGTAGAGTGTTTCTGAGGTCCTAGGAACTATCTCTTTAGAGATGGAGGGGCTGTTGGGTGTCACGTCACAGACATCATGGTGGCCGGAGAGATTGCTGTGACTTGTATAGTTTCCCAAGGTTTTGAGAAATGGGGCAACTGAGATGTACGTGCCTTGCAAAAAAAGGAGTCCTTGGTCAGAAATTGCAGGGGTATGCTGTCCACAGGGCGGCATTTAGCAGGGTGGTGGCACCCAGCACCACACAGCTGCACACTCGGGACACTCACTGACATCTGTCTAGTACTCTTTCTGACACGGGACCTTTCCTCTTCAAACATCTAATGGGTTCGGGCACTAAAAGCAGTTGTGGATTCCTCCCCTTCCCCGACGGAGAGCCTATGAGAAAACTCCTGTTGTAGTTCCTTGGTGCTGGTTGCAAACCTTAATCTGGGCACTGCATTACGTTAGTCCAGCTACAGCCTGAGGATGGCCACCGTCTGTCTGTTCACAGCAAGGATTGCATTTCCTCTCCTGGGTGTGTCTCCAAGGGACACTGGTGACTACCCTTCTCCCCATCCTGTGTTTTCAACTGTCTCAGGGTTCTGTTTTCTGTCTGTTAGGGCCTCTGACCAGAGGGCCCTCCCTCACTCGATCTGCCTCTGTGTGCTGCTAGGCTTTGACTCCATCTCTGTGGTGACACGTGTGTATTCTCAACCCTGCCTTTGGTTTTTTCAGGCCTAGCTCTGCTAGCCCCAGTGGGAAGCCCTCTGGATCAGCAGTTAACATGGGCTCTGTGCAGGGACACTACGTTCAACAGGTAGAAGATGGCTTTCCAGACCCTGCAGCCCTGGACACTTAGGCCTGTCTCCCAGCGCCAAAGGAGAGGGGACTGTCCATCTGATGGATGCTTTTTCATAAAAATAGGGAAATGTGCCCTAGTGCTTAGAGCTGGGCCACCTGAGTTCCTTCTGGCAAAAGGATTTCTCTTGATGGGTATCTGAATCATTCCTTGTCCTGCGGAGAAGGGAAGATACTGGTTCCCACAAGAGGTGATGCCAGAAGGAGCACTATCCCCAGCCATTTGGGCTGTCATGGCGCTCTAGGAGACCTGTTTAGGCCTGGGTTAGCTCAGAGGCTGGGGTATGTGTGCGTGCTAGCTCTAGTGAGTGGTGTAGCATGTCTCTGTCTGCCTGGGTGGGATCATAGTTGGGGTGCAGCTTCCCCCACTGTGGGGTTCCCTCAGTGTCTTTCCATGTAGGCCCTTTTCTCTTCCTCCTGTAAAGCTGGGCTGGGGCTTGATAAATTTGTCGCTGGCAGGTGGAGGTGTGAGAGTGATGGCTCTCTTTTCACCCCTCTTTCCCAGGGTTCCTTGGCCTACTATGGGATGGTTTCTGACCCTTTTACCCAGAGCTCAGGGGTAGAGCACCTGCCTAGCACATGTGAGGCCCTGGATTCCGTCCTTGGCACTGACAAAAAGACAGAAAACCACCCAACAAAGCTTCCTCCCAGAATTTAGACCAAGTGAGCAGCAGACCTGCAGCGGTCACTCCGCTGTGCAGAGCTGCGGACAAATGGAACCCTGCGTGGGAATCTTGATCAAATTGGGACCTGGGAAAAAGAAATGTAGTTATTCAGAGGCATTTGGGATGGGTGCTTGACTGAATCATGGACCAAGATCAGGGAAATCCAAGCTGGCCCTATCTCTACAGATAAGTGGGTGGATGGGCCTGAAGGGTAGGCTGGTCTGCTGAAGGGCTGTTCGCTTGCCAGTGGGGCATGGGGTACACTGATTCAGAAAGGTTCTTCCCGTCAGCCTTGGGACTGGAAATGCTTCACCTAGGAGATGCTACTGTTCAGTTCTCTGTAGAGACCCTGGAGTCTTCCTTGCCTCTGAATCATGTACTCAGTGCCTGTTTTGGGGAGGGAGGGGCAGGGCAGTCAGTTCTGGCTACACACCAGACTCCTCCCTGGGCTTTTGAGGGTAGCATTTGGCCTGACTCAGGAGCAGGGAGGGAGGGGTCTCTACACATCTTGCCCTGCACTCACTTTGATTTTCCTGTCCATCTGTCCAAAGGCAAAGCGAGTGGATGAAAAACCCAGCCTGGGAACCGTGAAGCTTCAGGAGGCCTCCCCAGCCACCTCCCAGCTGAAGCGAACCGGAGCAATCAAGCCCCGGGCGGTCAAGGTGGAGGAGAGTAAAGCCTGAAGGTGCCTGGCATCCGCCTCACCCTCACAGGGACGGATGGGGCACCACCACCAGCCTGGACAGCTCTCTTCCGCTCCTGAAAGCTCCTGAAAGTTCCATCGTCAGCCAGCCCACATCGTGGATATATGGCATCGACCTGCTTGCTTTGGTACAAAAGAGCAGACTCCCTCCTTCCCACCCCTCTGCCCAGTGACTGTGGAGTGAGTCTCCTGCGCAGTGCAGGCCCGCCCGCCCGCCCCATTCCCCAGGCACAGTGGTTTGGCAGCAGGGTCATTTTAATTTTAGCTGGAGGCTTTTTGTTTTAAAAAGCAGCTACGGTTTTTACAAAGGGGAAAGAAGAACAAAATGCTAGCTACGTCTGTACAGCTGAACTTTGATACGTTCCTCGCTGTCCTCTTTCTGCTCTGCTGTCCCCAGTGGTCTCCTTTTATCTCTGTCCTGTTTGACATGTCCCAGTGCTACCTTAAGAGGTGATTCTTAAGAGTATCCACACACACACATATACACACACACAGTTGGCTAACCTTTGGCGTTATTAAGGATGTAACTAGTTTATCTGGTTGGCCCCTTACTACCTTGGGTGCCATAAGGGTGGTATCTGAGTTCAGTTCTGGCCTCTGGCATGGAGTTGATGTTTCAGCATAAGAATTATCATCTGTTCTGGGCCCTTCTGAAGTCAGTGACACACTGAGTGTTGGGAATCAGAGATGAATTGTGGAGTTACAGTCAGCATTGGCAGAGGTGACCAAACCACGGACTCCACTAGGGGACTGTGCATTTGAGGCTCTATGCTTTAGCCTTCTGGGTAGCCGTGTTCCCCACTTACTTCCTTTCCTCTTCCTGCTGTGTCCCTCTGGATCCCTGTCCATCCATCCCTCACAGCTTATCACCAAAACCAGTAGGACAGAGGTGGACACCTGTTAGAGTTTGCAACAGAAAAAGCTATGGGACATTCCTCGTGTCCTTCACTCCCAGGAACAGAGCAGGGTGTTGGTGTAGGTTGCCAAGTAACCTATCCTCAGACAACTGGGCAAGGTCAAGGTATAGTGGCCTGCAGAGAAGCCAGTGAAGCCTCCCTAAAAGGATGGTTTCTTAGCACTGCCCCATGCAGAAGGTTCTGTGTGAGCGCCTGTGTGCCGGGCTTCTTGCTCTAAGAACAAGGAAATCAAAGAAAAGTGAAGGGGGATTTCAAGCTGCTCAGATGCTCTTTGGGATCCCCAGTTAATCACCCACCTGGGGGTGCTGGAGACCACCTGCCTCAGTACTCACAGTTGGTGGCAGGGCTGGGACAAGCCTGTGTCACTGTGGCTGTGGGAACAGAGAAGCATCTTGGGTGCTCCTGTAGTGGCTGCATGCTGCCTTGCCAGCTGCTGGAAAGAAACACAGTCAGCCCTGCCCCCCAGCAGGTAGCACTCCACTGTCCCCAGGGTTACCTGACAGGGCAGGCCTATGAGAAGCATCTGTAGCTCTCAGCTTCTCTCCCTCTGCCTCTGCCCTCCAGCCTTTAGTCACATCTTTGTCCCAGCTCTTCCTAAAAAGCGCTGCCCACTTAGAGTCTGGCACAGATCTGCCTTTGTCCCTCACCTGCTGTCCCCCACCCTGGAAGTATCTGGTTACTGCCCCAGTGATTGAGCCCTCTGCCCCACTGCCAAATCTCAGTAAAAGCCACACACAGTCACCTTTACCTGTCCTTAGAATTGCGGCTAGACCCACCTCCCCTAATGCTGGTGGGCATTATGTGTCAAAAGAAACAAATGCTTTCTCCTCCAGAATTTCACAGTCCAGGACGCTGTTATAAACTCAGAATGTGCCCTTTCGGGAGCCTGCTGTCAGAATGGCGGCACTTCCTGTTTGAGAAGGGAACTTAGGAGGCTGCTTGTTTCCAGTCCTTTCTCTCACCCTGTTTCCCTCCTGCCTCCCACCCCAAATAAAAACAAGAAACACTAGAATTTATTTATATGTATTGATGTTGTAGGTCTAGATGGAACAGAAAAAGTAAAGTCCCACTGCTCCGTTTGTCTGATGTCTGCTTGCTCTGTGCAGGGAGGCAGGAGATTGCATGTGAAGTTGTGCTCGCGCCTCTGACCTCAGCTGTGGGTCCTCCCCGCTGAGATGCACATCTGCAGCGAGACTCTGGGGACAGGGGGCAGGCTTCAGGCCTCCAAATGTCCCTGCCCTTCATACGATCTGGTCAAGCCAAGTTTTTAGTGCAAAGACGTTTTAAGGTGCAATATCTCTTCTGTGGATTTTAGCACCAAGCTCAAGGTATAATAGGACTTGGGGTCTTATTTTGGTTTCAAACCCCCTCTTCAGATCATAGATAAAACATAGGAGTTCTGTCAAGGTGCCATGGCCTTTGGTGGGAACAGGCAAAACCCAGCACCTGTCTTTTCTACTGCTGAGATGGGTGGAGGTGGGGCAGAATTATTTACTCCTGCCTACTGGAGTTACCTCCTAGTGCTGGTGGCTGCGTTGTGGCCACTGATGGTGCAATCTATGGCTTGGCAACCAGGAACTCTTCAGTGCTGTCAGTGCTGATGGTGCGTTCAGCTGACGATGGCTTCTTAACAATTGCTTTCCTTGTCTTATTCCCAAGTTTACCATTTTCAAATACAGAGTTCACAGAACACTTCTGGGTCTAGATTCCTTAGGGGGCAAACAAAGGATGGCTGCATTACACATTCTGAAAAGCTGGTTCATGTCTAGAGCCGTGGTCGCTCTGCTGCTGCTAGAGCTACCGGGACAGCTCTGTGTCGACATTACTCTCCTGTCCTCTGGAGCTGTGATGGAGTCATGAATGCCGGACCGCAGAGTTCAGGGCACCAGAGTGCCTGCTGAGGCCACAAGGCAACTCTGGCTAAGCCCACTTCCCCACCCCCTCCCCGACATCCATTGGGTCCCCCCTCTGCCAGGTATTCAGGTCTGTTTGCCCTCATTTCCAGCGATGCAAGCCCGGGTTAGAGGGCCTGTTGGGAATCGTTTACAACCAAGGGCACAAAAGTGTGTCTTCTGTTGTATTCTCTGATGAGTGGGAAATGAAGACTTCCAGAAGGTCAGCTTTCTATCTGGAACAGAGCGGCCCTGTGTTGGGGATGAGCGCGTCACCAGCTGTATTCTCCACCAGGCCCACCAGCTCTAACTGGTGACTTTCCAGGCACGTGACACCTACAGCTCCCACCTGCTTCAGACCTGCATCATCCCCAGGCCCCCTCTGGCATGTCACAGTCCCGGAGCAGCAGTCCCGTGAAGGCTCTGTGCAAGGCTCCTCAGTTGTTGAAACGGGTCCTGTGCCTCAGCTTTCCACCTCATACCCTTTGGAGAAAAAAGATTTGGGGGTTTTTCTTCTTTTTGAGGGTCTTTTTTTCTTTTCTTTTTTTTTTCCTTTTACTTTGGCCTTTCCTCTGTCTTCACTAAGACCAGATATTTGAAAGGGCAGACGATGTTAAAGGTGTACCGTGCAGCTTGTTTAGACGTGATTTGGGGAACCTCTTACCTCGGATGGGAAATGGGATGGTGAATTCACCTTCCCTTCCCTCCGGTTCAGTCCCTGTTGTTTCTCCTTTCAAATATGTGATTGTACTAGCTCTTTCCGTATGAAAGAACTCTCCTTATTTAAATAAAAAAGTATAAAAAAATAAAGGCAACCATGCTTTCTCAGATTGTGTCCATTTTATTTCTCAGTCATTGGGAAGGTAGAAGAGTTCTACTGTTTCCGTAGCTTACAAACTAGGAGTGGCTGAGATAAATGCCTTAGCTGAGTGCTGCACTGCGGTAGAGCTCCAGGGAGACAGCCTTTCATTATACTAGCAGTCTTGGTGGGACTCTTGCATGGCCTTTTATATGCGACTTTTGCTTCTTTGTCTCCCATAATTGTACTTCTAGTTGCTGGGAGTTTTTTGTTATTTTATTTTGACACGGCTTCTCTGTACTTTTGGAGCCTGTCCTGGAACTCAATCTATTGACCAGGCTGGCCTCAAACTCAGAGGTACGCCTGCCTCTGCCTCCCAAGTGCTAGGATTAAAGGCGTGTGCCGCCGCTGCACATGTCCTGTTTTTTTGTTTGTTTTAAAGCTTTAAGATGAGAATCTAAAGATGTCGCCAATGTGGATGGAGGGTTGTAGAGTAAAAGGGCCAGCCAAAGAAACACACGCTCTGGTCCTCAAATCAGCCAGTGAAAGAAACACCCTGAAACCAGTGCCAAAAGAACACACTTTGGCCCTAGAATCAGAGCCAGTGAAAGAAATATGCCCTGGACCCAAAACTAGAGCCAAAAGCTAAAAAGGCAGTTAAAAAAAAAAAAATGAACACAGAACCAAATCTGCCCGATCAACTAAGCAGAAAACCAACCAATCCCCGAGCAGAGAGCTAGCCAATCTGAGATCCAGGGACTGAAACCTGACCGATTCTCACCCTGAAAAATCTCCCTGGAAAAACTGCCCCTAAGAAGACCTGTGAGCCCTGCACCTGTTCACTTTGCCGCTGCACTTTCTCCACCCTGGCAGAGGCAGCCATTCTCCTGGATTCTTCCCTCCCAATAAATCTCTTGAATGAGGTTTGGGTGAAGACCTTTATCCGGACCTTAGACGGAGTGAGCAGAGCAGGGCTTTAATGTTTTAGCTGGAGAAACCTTCCCCTAGCAGAGCTGAGTTGTCAATACTCCCGGAGTCAAAATAGTAAGCCAAACTGCAACAGCTTCACTGGGGAGGCCCTCTCCTGGAGCAGAGCTGTCGCATTAGGGAAGCCTTTCCCTAGAGCAAGACTGTAAGATGCTACACTTACTCTTTACTGTGACCTGTGCTATTCCCTGACTGCCAGAATACTCGTCCACGTGAGCTGTAACACTCAGTATTCCCTGGCCCCCAACAGCCAGGATACCTTTCCATCTGAGCACGATGCTTACAGTGTTCATGTATCTAAGTGTGCAGGGTACCCTCAGAGGCCTGTGCTACATGAGCCCTTGCTGCGGTGCTTACAGAGGTGGCTTGGGGGATGTAGCGGACACTAAAACACATGGTAGTCTCTATCCTTTCTTTGGGATCTTTGGCAAGGCTGACTAAGGAAGAAGTTGCAGATCACTTTGTGTCAATCCAAGGACACTACCTAGCCTACTTGGCATTTTCGCTTTTTCTTTTCCCTGGATCTAGGAACTCCCTACCAGAGCATGGGGGCACCACTAAGGTGCATCTTGAAAATGGGCAGCACCTGTGCCCTGTGCTCCCTGTGGGCCAACTGTGTGCATCCTCTGTGCCCCTGTCTGACTACTGTCTGAACTTTGGCAGGAACTGGAGGAGTGCACTGCACGTCTGTGAAAGATTAGGTCTGGGGCAGAAAAGGGTTGCAAGGCTTCAGATGGGTTCAAGCAGTTGTACTTGGCTACACCATCACCAAGATGTGTAACCTTGCTATAGGGCTCTCTTAGACACTCCCAAGTTCTTTATTTATTACGTGTGATTTGTTAACCCTATCTACTGAAGAAGGATGGTGTGGACTCATCGGTCACTCACTGGTAAGCACAGTGAGTTCTAGGCCAGCCAGGGTTACAGAGAGAGAGAGAGAGAGAGAGAGAGAGAGAGAGAGAGAGAGAGAGAGAGAGA